TCTCCCCTTTGATACAGTTCTTGTACCAGAGTACAATTATTTATTTCCTTGTCCATTGTTACCACTAGGCTCTAAATTCTTTGTTCTTGTCTACCATTGATAATCTCAGTGCTTAGTACAGTGCTTGATCTATAATAAGTACCTAACATTTTATTTGGAGGACAATGGGCAGACAGAAGATATGGCATGACTTTTCCTGAGGAGTCTATTTCTGTTCATTCTCAGATGAAGAGGACAATGACAAAACAAAGAAACCATTCCAATTCCAGTATGATGAACCAGTGAGTTTATCAGAGTTACTGACAAGAATATGAGTGACTCGGTCAGCTACATTACCAGAAGGCCCACCTTAGATTGACTGATGACTCACAAAAGCTGGGTTACTTACAGGCAGCTCCACTAAACATGCTCTTCTCTTTCAGATTATCAACTGCTTATAGAATCCCAGGGGGAAACCTCATGAGTCTTGTTATGCCTACCACTTTCCTTCAACCTTGAAGAAACAACTACAAAAGAGATGGATGATTGATATGGTGAAATATGCTCTCTTGTGGCTAGCAACATTAACAAAATAAACTTCCTTTACCTTTGTTTCTTTGTGCATAAAATGATAGGCAAGGATTAGATAATATACCAGGTCATTTTCTCTAAAGTAAAATTCTATAAATGTTCCATAATGGTTATCTCAATCTTTATGAACCTTCCTTCTTCTTCCCTGGCTCACCTCTTACGTGTTAGTTTTCTTGGGACTCTGCCTTAAGTTTCTGTCTCTTCCTACCTTATATACCCCCCTCAGCTTCAGAAAGATCTACCTACCAATATTTCCCAAACCAAGTCATGCTTCCTAGACATTGGGACCAAATATCCAACTTTGTGCTAAACATTTTCCCTAAGTTCTATGTGGTCTACAGTGTCCTCCTTGGTCATTGCTATGCATGTTGTGGATCCAGAACAAGGTACTCACCCCTTGTAGAATTGTTAAGAAGATATAGATTTAATTATAACACATAGCTTCAATATTTCTCAGTCAAAGCTCTTTTCAGGACTGAGGATATAGTTCAGTGGTGAAACAATAACTCAGCATGCAGTAGCTAGACATTTGTTCAGTACAAAACACTGAAAATAACACTTTCTCCAAGCATTTTAATGGGTGCTGCCAGGATGCTATACTCTATGCTATAGTGTATCTGCTTGTCATAAATTATGGGCTAAAAAGCTCTGTTCCATCCATGTACCCAAGTAAGGGATTTCAACACAGAAAAATCTCAATGTTTCACTTCAAAGTAACAGTACTGAATCGAAGACAGTTTTGCCTTTTGGGGGCTATTTGGCAAATGTCACTTTTTGCATCTTGCTATATAACCCTAGTGAGCTTGGAACTTGCTGTGCATATCTTTCTGGCATAAAACAATGATCCTCCTGTCTCTCACTCCAGAGTGTTAGAATTATAAGTGTGCACTACCACACTTAGCTGATACGAAAAGTTTTATATTGGCACAACTTGGAGGATAAGTGCTATTGACAACTAAAACAGCAACCAAGAATGCTACTAAACATTTTAGAGTGCCCAAGATAGAACTTGCTACCAGAAAACCAAAGAATCATCGAGCATAAAATATCAGTCATATAGGGGTTGAGAAACCTACTCTAATTGAATGAATAGCTTACAAATTCCTACTAAAATTGAAAGGGAGGCTGGAGAGATGGCTCATCAGTTAAGAGCACTGGCTGCTCTTCCAGAAGTCCCAGGTTCAATTTCCAGCACCCACATGGCAGCTCACAACTGTTTAGAATTCCAGTTTCTAAGGATTCAATACCCTCACACAAATATACATTCAGACAAAACACCAATACACATAACATAAAAATAAATATTCACCCAGAAGCTGATGGAAACAGATGCAGAGACAGAGAGCCAAACATTAAAGCAATAACAAGGAGTCATATGTAAAAGCTGGGGAAACAATTGAAGGAGCTGAAGGGGTCAAGGACTCTATAAGAAGACCTACAGAGTCAACTAACCTAGGTCCATGGGGGCTCACACAGACTGAATCACCAACGAAAGAGCATACATGGACAGATCCTAGGCCTCCTGCACATTATGTAGCAGATGTGTAGCTTGGTCATTATTTGAGTCCCTCCAGCAACTGGAACAGGGGCCCTCTTTGACTCTGAGTCCTGCCTTTGGATCCCATTCCCTTAACTGGGCCACCTTGTCTTGTCTCAGTGGGAGAGGATGCACCTAGTCCTGCAGCAACTTAATGTGCCTGGGTGGGTTGGTACCCATGAGGGACATCCCCCTCTGTAAAGAGAAGGGGAGAGGAGAATGGGACAAGGAATTGTGAGGGAGCAACTTGGAGAAGGAAGGGCTGCGATCAGGATGAAAAGTGAATAAATCAATAAATTTTAATTTTTTTAGAATAAAATGGAAACATTTTTAAAAATTTATTTGTTTTTATTAATTACAGTTTATTCACTTTGTATCCCAACAGTAGCTCCTTCCCTGTCCCCTCCCAATTCCACCCTCCCTCCTTCTTCTCTCCTCCCATGCCCCTCCCCCAGTCCACTGATAGGGGAGGTCCTCCTTCCCCTTCCATCTGATCCTAGTGTATCTGGTCTCATCAGGAGTGGCTGCATTGTTTTCCTCTGTGGCCTGATAAGGCTGTACCCCCCTGGGGGTCAAAGAGCCAGCCACTGAGTTCATGTCAGAGACAGTCCCTGTTTCCATTACTAGGGAACCCACTTGGAGACTGAGCTGCCATGGGCTACATCTGTGGAGGGGTTCTAGGTTATCTCCATGAATGGTCCTTGTTTGGAGTATAAATCTCAGAAGAGACCCCTGTACCTACACACACACACACACACACACACACACATATATATATATATATATATATATATATATATATATATATATATATATATATATATATATATATATGGCTCTTTTTGTGGAGCTCCTGTTCCCTACATGTCTTTCTATCTCCCCCTTTTTTCAGAAGATTCCTTGTCTATGAGTCTTAGCCTGTGCTTTGATATTTGGGAGGCCCTCTGTGGTCGGCTCCTGTCCTCTTCCATATTTTCTTCATCTTCCTATATCCATCCTCTTTGTCTTTCTGAATGAGGATTGATCATTTTACCCAGGGTCCTCATTCTTGCTTAGCTTCTTTAGGTGTATAGATTTTGGTATGTTTATCCTATATTATATGTCTAATATCCACTTATAAGTGAGTATATACCATTTGTGTCTTACTGCTTCTGGGATACCTCACTCAGGATGATATTTTCTAGTTCCCACCATTTGCATGAAAATTTTATGATTTCCTTGTTTTTATTTGCTGAGTAGTATTCCATTGTGTAAATGTACCACAATTTCTGTATCCATTTCAGACCTTTATTTTCTCTCTCATTATGTGCTATTGGTGAATGAGATGTCCCATTTACTTTATCTCTGAGATTTGTAGAAAAGGCAGATCATGAGAGAAACAGACAAGGTTGTTTGACTGTCTGGCGTGGACTATGATACTACAAACTAGCATGTATTCAATCCCGTACCTAATACAATTTGTATCCCTTATTTGTTAAAGAACTCAGGAAATGGCTTGACACTGAATTTTATATGCACATGGAATCAAATGCAGCCCTCCATAGCACATATATCTTTTTGGCTATTCTGATAGCAGTTCTGTTCAACCCTAAGACATCAAGCAGGTAAACAGGCACAGAGATTCCTACCCGTGTTACTTAAGGTTCTTCCTGGGAAGCAGTGGCTCACTCTTCAGATCAAGGGTCAGCAAGCTACAATCCACAGACCAAGGTGGCCCCATTTTACACAACATCTGAGCCAAAGCCAGCTTTAACATATCAAATGGTTGATAATGGAATAAAAGAATAATATGTTCAAGGATGTGGATGTAGTTCAGTTGAAAGAGTGCTCATGTGACATCCAGGAAGCCCAGAGTTTGATCCTCAGCAACACCTAAAATGGAAATTGTAGTACTTGCCTATAATCTCAGTACTAGGACAGAGAAAGCAGGAAGATGAGAAATCCAGTGTCATCCTTGGTTACATGGCAAGTTCAAGGGCAGCCAGGGATACATGTGAGACGTTGCTGACTGAGCTAGCTTCCCAGCCCCCAAAATAAAGTACGGTTAGAGCAATCATACACATCTGTTTGCTATTGCCTACGGCTGCTTTTGCACATAGACAGAAACCTATTATGGCCTGCAAAGCCTGAAATATTTACCCCCTAGTCCCTTTGAGAATACATTTGCAGGGGCTTGTTGCTCAATAGCTAATCTTGTTGCTCAACAGTTAAAAGTTTAGCAAATTGTCTTTCCAAGAGGCTGTTCTGAAGCCCAGCAAGTTTAAATCCCCAGCACCTGGCTCTGCTTTGGGGACATGCCTCCACTGTAGGGTGTTGGAGTTTCCTCCTTTGTAACCTGAGAAGACTTGGCAAAATAGTCTCCCATTCTTAACTGCCCATAGTGTACGGTGATTCCGGGCTGTTCCATGACTCCCAAGTGGCCATGAGGTAAAAGTGCAAAGCTCTTGTCTGAGCCAAAACCGCTCAGCCAGTGAGTCACTGACACAAAGCCAGAACTGGAAAGCCACTGTACCCATTCAGAACAGATTGGAGAAGTGGCACTCTACCAGTTTCCAAAATGTACACTTTCTTTTGGTCACTTTCACGCTACCTTTAGAGATTCTGTAGCCAATTTCTTTAACCATAGGTAAAAAGGGAACGGACAAAACTAGAGGAACGTTGTCAAGGAATGGAAGGCAGAGGCTGTCAACACCAAAATGTAGGGGGTTTTGTTTGTTTGTTTTGATTGGTTGGTTGGATTTGGTCCGCACAGCCTCCCCGTGAAATCTAGTACTTACCTCAGGTCTGTGGAAATCACCCAGGTACTTGACAACGTTCCTGTTGCTCCTATGGCAAGAAGAGTCACAGTGGCCCTCTCTGTTTTCTTAATACTAACACAGTTATTTATCCACAGTCCAAGGGATTACAGGTTGCCAGCACTAGCACACCAGCCCGGGATCTGTCACTATGGAACTAAGATGGCCTGCTGCTATGGCTGGAAAAGGAACAGCAAGGGAGTATGTGAAGGTAAGTTTTGTAAAAATTCAGACTACCCAGCAATTGGGTCAGGATGCCTATGTATCAGTCTATGACACAGCTAGCTGCCAATGGATTCTCTGGGGTAAAGACATGGGTAACTACCAATATTCAAAGTTTTGGTATCCAGAATGGTCAACACTATCACAGTAGACTGGAGTTATTTTAAGAGACTTTCATGTTCATTATTATTTAGATTACTAATTTGAGCAAGTATAACTAGGGTTTGGTTTGACTTTGGTTGGGTTTAATCTGTAGGAACTGAGATGGGCAAAACCAAACCAATTAACTCCTTCTAATTATAGCTTTTTCTAACTGATTTCTAATGAAATATACATTATTATCTAATTTAATTATTATCATATTAATTATTATCATATTTAATTATTATCTATAGTCTAATAGCCAAGTAGTCTCTGGCTACGAAGTAGAACAGGGACCTTTATATCTTATAGATGTGCCACCCCCATTTTTAAATTCCTTAACTGTTGTTTCTAATAGCAAGAAATGCATGCAGGTATGCAAAGGTGTTGTTTTTCCATTATTCTGTGCAGGTTAAAGGCTAAGAAAACAGACTATTTCTTAGATGCGGTTTCTCAGATTCTGTGTTAGGAGCTTATTGAGAGACCTCTGATAATTTCCAGAGGATTTCAGAAAGCTGAGATGAACATCTGCCTTTTTAAATTTTTATGCGGTTTTCCTTATTTGCCCATATTTGTGATCGAGAGCCATCAAACTTGCATTTCTCCAATGCAATTAATTGGTTATGTTGTCTGGAATAGACAACTCACTGTCCACCCCCAGTGACACACTTCCTCCATTAAGGCTACACCCCCTTATTCCTCTCAAGTAGTGATACTCCTTGACACTTCTCAGTGTAAAAATCTGCTTTCACTGTCCCCAGAAAGTATCAAATGCCTAATCATGAGTTCCTTAGCTGTTAAATAAGGTAATGTTATGCCTGAATGTTCCATAAATGCATTGAAATGCTACATTATATCCTCATAGGCCTTTCCCTGACCCAACACCCCCCATTGTAGCTGGCCCCCAGATAGCTACACGAATAGCTACTAGGGTGGTAGAGGTCATTATTTTTCAGTAAGGTAACCAATGGTAATTTCCCTGTGCCCCAGTTAGTATCCCAACAACTACCCACATTTATGCAAACACCCTAATTGAACTCAGTGGGTCTGTCTTAGTCACTGTTCTATTTCTGTGAAGAGACACCATAGCCATGGCAACTCTTATAAAAAGAAAGCATTTAACTGGGGCTTGCTTACAGCTTCAAAGGTTTAGTCCATCATCTTCATGGTAGAGAGCATGGCAGCACACAGGCAGACATGGTGCTAGAGAAGCTGTGAGTTCTAGATCTGGGTATGTAGGCAGCAGGAAGAGAGAGACATTGGGCCTGGCTTGGGCTTTTGAAACCTCACTGCCCACTCCCAGTGACACATTTCCTCCAATAAAGCCACACTTCCTAATTCCTCTCAAGTAATGACACTCCTCAAGGCCAAGCATCCTAACGTATGAGCCTATGGGGCCCATGCTTATTCAAATCACCACAGGGTCTAAAAAAGCAAGTGATGTGGAAATAGGAGGAAGGCTTGTTGGAAAGGAAAAGGAGTTCAGCGGGCATGGAAGGGAGATAAGAGGAGGTATATTGGGAGCTGAATATGATCAAAATACATTGTGTACACACAAAAAATTGTCAAAGAACAAACACGAGATTTTAAAATATCTAGATTGACTGTAGGGGAGGGCAGAACTTGATATCTGAAATTTATGAAACAACAGCTAGGTCCTGTGTTAATTAAAAGGGCAGATGTATGTACCTCAGCTGGTAGAATGTTTGCTAAGTATGCAGCATGATTCGATGTATTATGACCCATGTGGGTGACCTTGGAGAAGTTAGTGAAGTTCACTAAGGCTCTGTTTCCTCTTCTGGAACATGAAGAGGACAATACTCCTCATAAGGTCCAGAGCGGAGGCAGTAAATTGTGTGCTTACTGCCTGTCACACAGAAAAAAAAAATTCTTCATAAATTACCATGGACTCAGAAAGGACCAGTGACTCTTGTCACACTTCTGTCCTTCAAAGCACCAGGTGACGGGAACATTAAACGTATCTTTGTTCTTTACCTAGACACAACATTAAAAATTCTTCTTTGAAGGCAGTCAGGTGGAAAGGGGTAAAAGTCACCTGAGACATGTGACTTATAATTTCTTACAGCTTCACAAACCTCAACACTTACTGCTATTAAAATTCAGTCAGATCCAGCATGCCACTGGTGAGCAAGTGAGACTGAGCTTTGGCTTTCTGCAAGGGCTGTTCTTCAACTGGATCAGAGTAGTTTAGCCACAGTATGTACAACCAATCACAAGGTCAGTGATTTCATGGACTGTGTATCACAGGCGTGAAGGACTGTAAAGCAAAAGGTTAAAAGATCCAATGGAGAGTTTAAGAAAAATGTTCAATATGCAGGTGTTGGAAACTAAAGATAGTTAGCATCTCTGTTGCCTTTGTTGAATATTTAGGTTTTAATTTGCAACAAATACCTCTTAGATATAAAATTATATATCATATTTTATTGAATTTGTTTATTTTTTCCAGGGTTTCATGTAGCCTTAAACTCTCTAATAGCTGAAGATCTTAAACTCCTGATCCTGCTGCTTGAGTGCCAGGATTATAGCCCTGTACCACCATGCCCAGTTTATGTAGTCCTGAGGAAAAACCGCGGGCTTTTTGCATTCTAGGCAAACACTCTCCTAACAGTGCTACACACCTGCATGTTCCTTCTTGTCTATAAGGCCATATGTTCCTAGAAGCACAAAATAACAAGAATAGCCACTCTCCTCTCACTGGGATTCTTATTCCAAAACCAGAGTTCAGCCTATGCAGTAAGAAAAACACACATCGACCTGCCCCAACAAGCAATACCAAATTCTGGCTGGGAGGTCCCAGTCCAGAGATGCCTTCTCTTCTATCTGTTGCTGTTCACTCTTTGTTTCTCTCAATGACCTGCACCAATGTACACAGGACCCCTGCCCCCAGCTTTTGCCTCTGCCCTTGTCTAAATCTTCTCTCAACAGTGAAGTCTGATCAAGTCTGTATCATTAACCTCAAAATATATGTCACTCTAATGACCTGGAATGAAGTGCTGTCCAAAGACAAATCCCTGATGAAAAACTGCAGATGGAGGAGTCTGGGGGAGAACTGAGCATGAGAGTTTGAGTTTCTGCAGAGTGTGTTTCAGCCTTTGGCTGTTTTAGACACAAACTGATTTTCCCTTTGCTGGATTGGCTGTTCTGATCACAGATCCAAAGTCACTGTAAATTGAAAACATCTTTCTGAGGTTTTAAACTTAGAGCAAGGATATTACTCACTGTTTCTCCTGTGTGCTATCTGGCATTCATCCTGGACTTTCCTGTCTGGATCACATTGGAAATCAGCTTCCAGGTCTTTGGGGCTTAAAAAAATTCAAAGATTTATTTTTGTAACATCTGAACTTAAAGCTGCATCACCAAGTCCATGCTCATAACAAAGGAGACAGTGAAAATTAAACTCCATCTCTTTAGTCTCTAAAAGTGGAAAATTTTTGCTGGAAAATCTTTTTTTCTCTCTTTACCTTATTGGTTATGACTTGTTCAGAACCAAAATATTTCCCTGCTACAATTTCTGTGTCTATTGCTTTGTTCACTATTGAAAAAAAAATATGTGTTCTGGGCATGGTGACACACATTTCTAATTCCAGCACTTAAGAAACAGAAGCAAGAAAATCATGAGTTCATTATTAGCCTAGGCTACATAGTGAAATCCTGTCCCAAAACAAAAACAAAAACAAGGGCTAGGAATGTAGCTCAATGGTAGACCATGTGGCTAACATATACAAGGTCTTGAGTTCACACCTAGCACTGCAATATATTTGCATATATAGCGTATGATTGTGTATGGCTTATATCTGCACGTGCACATCTATTTTTTCATATGTAGCATATTCCCAACATTATATAAAATGTTGCAAGATAAAAAGTGAATTGTAAGTTTTTGTCTGAGGACACTGAAAACACAGTAACAGACAAAAATTGTCTCACTCATTTTGTTTATCTCCTTCCTATGAGCCTGCTTCAAATTTGCTATCATCTTCGATCATTTCTTTCCTTGCCTCCAATTCAGCTGCAACATTATAGCTTTCTTGTATTAGTGCACCATTTTGTTCACTGAGGAGAGAGTTATTGAATACCTACCTCATGCCATGTATCTGGATACAAAAGTCAATAACAGAAAAGCAACCCCTGCCTATGCTATGCTTCTAAGGCCGCCATCATCACCATGCTTCAAGTGCCCATCAGAGTGAGCTATTCAAATTTAATGGTAGCAAACAACACTAAAAAGAGATTGATCATCCCAAAGAAAAATAGTAAAGCTGGGGCGAAGGCTCAGTCTGTAAAGTGCTTGTCACAAAGGCATGAATAGCTAAATTCTATCCACAGATTAATAAATAAATAAACAAATAAAGCCAGGCATGCTTGAGCGTTTTTGTGATTCTGGCCCTGGAGAAGCAGAGGCAGGTGGTCTCTGAGACTCACTGGTGAGCCTTAATTTGTGATCCTTAAGGCCAGTGAGAGACTCTATCTCAGAAACAAGATGAAGGTGGCAGGGTGCAGCAAGATGATTCACTGGAAAAAGACCATTTGCCGCCAAGTGTGATGACCTGAGTTTGATCCCCAGGACCTATATGGTAGAAAAAGAGAACCAACTGGTGCAAGTTGTCCTCTGACCTTTACATGTATGTCATGGCATATGCATTCCCTGGCCCCAAATACAAATACATGTTTTGTTTTGTTTTGTTTTGTTTTGTTTTGTTTTGTTTTGTTTTGTTTTAAATAGATGCCACCTGAAGAATGACACAAAAGATTGTCCTCTGGCTTTCACATTAAAGTTCATACATGTGCATTCACATCCACACACATGTAAACATGAACACACACACAGGGAGAGAGAGAGAGAGAGAGACCAAAGTAAAACTAGAGAAATACTTAAGAGATGAGAAGAGACAAGTGGCAGAAAGAAAGAAATACAAAGACCTTGGAACTTGCCCATGTCACTCTGATATGTCTTCCTCTCAAATACTCTCCCTTTTTTATTAATGTTTTCAGTCGACATGCAAAAGTTTTTGGCAGTGTGGTCTGGGGGAGCTTTTCATGCTGGAGATGTGGCCACACTAAGCAAATGAGTACAATATATTAGCATTCATTGCTTGGTGGGTGTGAAGGCTGGTTTGGTTTACAAGGCAATTCCTGCTCAGTGTTGGAAAAGATGAAAGAGGAGTAGAGAGGAAGCAGATCTCAGTCCCTTCCCAAAGAGTTCTCTGCCATGTAGGAGACAGTTATCATGTGCACATTGTCAGTGTGTCTACTGTATCATCAGGACCTCTTTCTCTCTTACAGCTATGTGTGAGCCCAGATGCAAGTTCGGTGAGTGTGTGGGACCGAATAAATGTAGATGCTTTCCAGGATATACCGGGAAGACCTGCAGTCAAGGTCAGTGCAACACCAGGATCCTAGGACAAACGCCATTACAGTGGGGTCAGGAAGGAAAGAAATGAGGGTTTCTTAAGTGTTAGTGGTCAAATCTTGAACATTGTTTCAGGATAAGAGTTTTCAGCCAATCTCTTCTTGATAAATGTGAAACTTCTGACTGTTTTTTTTTTCAAATTACTAAATAAAAGGCCTCTCTTAAAATAATTGTTTTTCAGATTATCTAAATAATATGATAAATTCTTTATTTGAAAAAAAAACAGCAATGAATAAGGATATAAAAATAAAAAAGAAAGGGCTAGTGACACAACTCACTTGGTAGAGATTTTCCCCAGCACGAAAAAAGCCCTGGGTTCAATCCCCAGAAATGCATAAACTTGACATGATGACACACACCTGTAACCCTAGCACTTGCGAAGTAGAAACAAAATGATCAAAAAAGTTCAAGGTCATCTTTGGCTTCATGTCAATTTCTAAACCGGCCTGGGATATATGAGACCCCATCTCAAATGGAGGAAGGGCATCAGGGAGAGGCTCCACCTCTAACCATTATTAGAACCATAATTCACAGTTTGCGCTAGCTCAGTGGTTCTCAACCTGTGGGTCAAGATCCCTTTGGAGGTGTTGAATGACCCTTTCACAGGGATTGCATTTCACACATACTGTATATACTGTATATCAAATATTCACATTACAATTCATAACAGTAGCAAAATTAAAGTTATGAAGTAGCAGTGAGAATAATTTTATGGTTAGGGGGTCACCACAACATGAGGAACTGTATTAAGAGGTCATAGCAATAGGAAGGTTGAGAACCACTACCCTAGATCTTCAGATCCCTTTTTCATGACCCTATAAGCATCAGTATTTCTCATGGGTATTCTTACCTGTCAGTATGCACAGAGTTCAAACTTCTTAAGGCCATGCCCTAGTCTTTAGTATGAACATGTTTATCATTTATGAAAAAAATGTTGTATTTTTTAATTTTTTTTATTTTTTTTACACTTTATTTACTTTGCATCCCCCCTCTAGTTCCCTCCCTCCTCCCCTCCCAATGCCTCCCTTCCTCTCTCTTCTCCATGCATGCCCCTCCCCAAGTCCACTGGTAGGGGAGGGTTTCTTTTTCTTCCTTCTGATCCTAGTCTGTTAGGTCTCATCAGGAGTGGCTGCATTGTCTTCCTCTGTGGCCTGGTAAGGTTGCTTCTCCCTTGGGGGGGGGGGGGTGATTAAAGAGCCGGGCAATCAGTTCATGTCAGAAGCAGTCCCTGTTCCCATTACTATGGGAACCCACTTGGACACTGAACTGCCATGGGCTACATCTGTGCAGGGGTTCTAGGTTATGCATGGTACTTGTTTGGAGTATGAGTCTCAGAAAAGACCACTGTGCTCAAATTTTTTGGTTCTGTTGCTCTCCTTGTGGACCTTCTATCCTCTCCAGATCTTACTATTTCCCACTTCTTTCATAAGGTTCCCGCATTCTCCCCAAAGTCTCAACATCTGGCCGTAAGTCTCAACATCTGCTTTGATAGTCTGTAGGGCAGAGCCTTTCAGAAGCCCTCTGTGGGAGGCTCCTAATTTGTTTCCTGTTTTCTTCTTCTTCTGATGTCCATCCTCTTTGCCTTTTGGGATGTGGATTGAGCATTTTAGCTAGAGTCCTCCCTCTAGATTAGTTTCTTTAAGTGTACAGATTTTAGTAGGTTTACCCTATATTTTATGTCTATATGAGTGAGTATATACCGTGTGTGTCTTTCTGCTTCTGGGATAGCTCACTCAGGATGATCCTTTCCAGTTCCCACCATTTACCTGCAAATTTCATGATTTTCTTGTTTTTCATTGCTGAGTAATACTCCATTGTGTAGATGTACCACAATTTCTGTATCCATTCTTCCGTTGATGGACATCTGGGATGTTTCCAGCTTCTGGCTATTACAAATAAAGCTGCTACAAACATGGTTGAGCAAATGTCCTTATTGTGTACTTGAGCCTTTTTTGGATATATACCTAGGAGTAGTATAGCTGGGTCTTGAGGTAGCACTATTCCTAATTGTCTGAGAAAGCGCCAGATTGATTGAGTGGTTGTACAAGTTTACATTCTTACCATCACCATTTCCATTCTCTCCAATCCCTTTCCACTGCATACAATGCTAACTCAAACATTCTTCTCATATCCACTCACAGCCATTTACTCTGGAGTGATATTTTGGTGATATAAAAATCTAAAAAATGGAATTGTGTGCATATTTTTACTCAACATATACATTTCTGAGAAGTTTCTAGATAATGTCTTATTATGTAGCTCTAGCTGTCACTCTATAAAACAGGATGGCCTTGAACTCACAGAGATTTGCTTGCTTCTCCCTCCTGGGTGCTAGGATTTGAGGTGTGTGAGATCACACTGTTTCTGTTTTTGGTTTGTGACATTCTCACATATCCCAAGTTTGCTATGTTGATATGTAGCCTGAGATAGACCTTGAACTTCTCATGCTCCTGCCACCACCCCAAGTGTTTGGATTGTATGTATGGGCTACCACACTTAATGTATATTATGATAAAGTTGGAATCCAGGACTTTTACAAACCAGGCAAGCACTTTACCAACTGAGCTACATCTCCAGCCCAACAACAGAGCATTTCAAAAGACAATTTATGGTATTTGTCTTAGGCCATTTATCTACTGACAATTAAGAATTTATTTAATATCTCTTAGAACATTGACCACGTTTGCTGGCACACAACTATAGTCCCAGCACATAGGAAGTAGAAGCAGGAATATCAAGAGTTTGAGACCAGTTTCTATTATGTGCTAAAGAACAGCCTGGGTTATCTGAGACTCTGTCTTAAACAAGAAAAGTATAGAACAAAAGCTCTGTCCTCCAGAGAGAGAGAGAGAGAGAGAGAGAGAGGGAGAGAGTTATCAGATAATATATGAGTGATAATTGTAAAATATATTTATATAGTAATATTGTATGGAATGTGTACATGCTAAAACATTCTAGTTACTTTCCTAAAATTTAAACTTAAGTTGGAATCCTTTATTTTTAGTTGCCAAACTCAGGAATCATACCCATGGGATATCTGGCACTGTTGAAAGACATTTGAAGGACGTGCTGCTGGTATCTCCTAGCTAAATACTTGTCTAAGTTTTGGTTTCATTGCTGTGAAGAGACACCATAACCACAGAAACTCTTACAAAGGAAAACATTTAACTGGGGCTGGCTTAAAGTTCAGAGGTTTAGTCCATTATCATCATGGTAGGAAGCATGGAAGCTTGCAGGCAGACCTAGTGTTGGAGAAGTAGCTGAGATTTCTACATCCAGATCAACAGGCATCAGGAAGAGAGAGAAACTTGGCCTGGCTTAAGCATTTGAAATCCAAAGCTCACTCTTAGTGACACACTTGCTCCAAGAAGTTCATACCTACTCCAACAAAGACACACCTTACAGTTTTGTCACTTCCTAATAACCAAACATTCAAATATATGAGCCTGTGGGGGCCATTCCTATTCAAACCAACACATCACCTTACAGTTCCCAGAAGTGCCCTGTACCAAGAAAAATGGTTCAGTCCAAATGGCAATAGATGTTGATGTTGAGAGACTGTGGGAATTATAGTGAAAAAAAAAAAACAAAACAAAACACACACACACAAAAAAAAAAAAAAAAAAAAAAAACACCAAAAAAAAAAAAAAAAAAAAAAAAAAAAACACTCCAATGCTGGAGCTAGAGGTCAGTTAATAGATTATTTCCCTAGCATGCGCAACACCCTGGATTTGATTTCCAGTAAGGAATAAACAGGGCATGATAGCAAATTCCTGCAGTCCTAGTACTTGGACAGTAGGAGCAGGAAGATTAAAGTTTCAACCTGGCTACAAGAGATCCTGTCTCCTAACTAACAAACACACAAACAAACAAAAACACCTTGATAGAAAAAAAGGCCACCTTGGTCTTGGCTGTAGACTAGATGTTTCAACTAGGGTAATTTTGTATTCAGGGAATGTCTGGCAATGTCTGGACGCAGTTTGAGTCTTCACTGCTAGGAAAGGTGTTGCTACTGGTTATCTACTGAACAAATCTCATCCCTTCTTCTAAACACCCAACAATACAGACCAACCTCCACATAGAGGAATGATCTGGACTCAAATGTCAAGAGAAGTTGAGCAACTCTTGCATAAAGAAAGCCCCAGTAGTTAAGAAAGTACTCCCCACCCCCAGCCCTATGATAAGGTTGCGCACAACCAGAAAATTGCAGTTGACTTCTCTCATGAGAAATTTCCAGGGAGACAGAGACATGGCTCAGCAGTTAAAAGTTCAGATCCTAGTACCCACATACAAAAAAAGCTGGGCATGGTGATAAGAAACTTTGATGTGTAGGGCTCACTGGCCAGCCAGCCTAGCCTAATAGCTGAACCCTCTCTTGAATCCAAAAATCTAGCCATAGCACCTGGCCTCCTCATTCAAACTCATGTACACAAGCCCACACAAACATGCACAGAGAGCAAACACTGAGAACCACAGGTTCATCCGTGAGATCTCTTTCATCCCAGGTGCTTTTTTCTGTAGATCTTTTTTGGAGTCCTTTGGACTAGAGGGCCTATTTCTCATGCTAGTTCTCAAATTCTATTAAATATTAATATTGAGAGAGTGGTCCGGTTGTCTCAAGTTTTGAGGTTGTCTCTCTGCCTGCAATCTACCTATCCCATGGCAGCCTGATCAAAGCAACAGGCCTCAGCTAATGTGTTTCCCAAAAATTCTCTTTCAAAGGCAGGAGTGAGTCACCTCTGGCTTAAACCCAAGTGATGGGATGGGTTTTCCATTATGTCCAGTCAACATATTTCAATTCCTCCCTTAAAAGAGGGTGGCATTTGGAGCCAGTGAGATGGTGTATTCACAGGCACATACTCACACATGTGTGCATGCACACACACACGTTTGTGCAAAAGATAACAAAGTAATAAGAGTTAAAAACAAAAAAGCCAAGCATGGTGGCTCACGCCTTTAATCCCAGCACTCAGGGAGACAGAGGCACTTGGATCTCTGAGTTTGAGGCCAGTCTAACAAAGCTAATCCGGGACAGCCAGGATATTTACAGAGAAACTATCTCAAAAAACCAAAAAAAAAAAAAAAAAAAGTTTAAACACCAATAACATGGTTAACATGGTTGGAGTGTGTGAGGGAGATGATACGGTCAAGGGGACAAGCAAATGGAAAAGGAAGCTTCGGGGGGTTAAAAAATATGCATATACAGAACTTTCCAAAGGCAGGAACAACTATTGTTTTACTTTTCAAGGACATACTCTGCCTGCCACCATTCAGAATTGTCTTTTTCTCTTCTGTGGAATTTGGTGATTTTTTTTTTCTCCCTTCTATATCTTCCTTGGGGGAGTGAAGCCATGACTCCTTCTTCACAATCATACTTCCAAACACAAGACAGACCCTTTTATCACAATTTCTTTTAATAATTTTTCTCTTCTTTATCTTCTTCCTTTGTCAGACAGAGTCTCGTGTATGCCAGACTAAGAATGACCTTGATTCTTTCCTGTATCCACCTCCTGAGTGCTAAGATTACAAACACGCATATTTTTTTTTTTTGTGGCACTAGGTATTAAACTCAGGGCTTTGTCCATGCTAGATGAGCACATATCCAGCTGAGCTACACCTCTAGCCTACCCCCTTTATCATGTTCTTATTTTAAAAGAAATGTCATTTATTCCTTTTTTTTTTCTTTTACAAAAACATACTAAGAAGCTCAGAAAGAAAACTAATGCTTTCTTGAACATGCCAGTTAGCCAAATCATGGCTAGCATTGAGCACTGTTCACCCCAGGCTTTATTCCTTACACATGTTTGTTCTGTTGCTTAATCGTTTAGGATTAATCTGCATACATGGCATTGTAATCACCCAGTGAACACCTTCACTTGCAATTCAATATGCTGCAACCAGCTGCCTGTTGAGGTTCTCCCTAGAATGGTGTGAGCTAAGTTAATGGATGTTGGTCACAACAGTGCTGCTGCAATGAGCTGTATGGGATGAAACTCAAGGCTGTCAGGCTTGTGCAGCAAGTACTTTTATCTGCCAAGCTATCTCTCTGGCCCAAGTTATACATGTTTAATATATGTACACTCATATGTGATGCTACTTAAATGAAGAGGTAGAAACACACAGTATGAGTATTTATGCCTTTAACTACTTCCCTAACAGCTCATGCTGGTGACCTTAGCACTAGAAAGGATGAAGAATGAGGACTGCCTCAACTTCAAAGGCAGCCTGGGCTATAGTGTCAAGATAGATAGATAGATAGATAGATAGATAGATAGATAGATAGATAGATAGATAGATAGATCGATCCGTGGTTGGATGGATGGATGGAAAGAGAGAGAAAATCATGTTTTTTGTTGTTTTTTCAAAACAGGGTTTCTCTTTGCAGCCTTGGCTATCCTGGACTCACCTTGTAGACCAGGCTAGCCTTAAACTCACAGCGATCTGCCTGCCTCTGCCTCCCAGAAAGCTGGGATAACAGGCATGCAGCACTGTTCCCAACTAGAAAAAAGCATATCTTGACTTCACTTCATCTATCACAGGATGTATGCAATAGATTTATCCATCTTATTCTACTTGATATCCGTTTGTGAGAATCATCCTCTGTTGCCTATACTTCTGGTTTCTTCTATTTAACTGCTACACAATATACTCATCACATAGCCATCCCGATGAAGTGTGTTTGAATCACTTCTACTAATACATATGCTATTATGATCCCTTTAGTATATGTTTTGTATGTGTGATGTGAAAGGATACTCAACATTTCTGTTATGAATATACCCATGACTGGAACTGCTAGCTCATAGGTAGACCTGTTTCTAACTTCAGTTTTCCATAGTACCTGTAGCAATTTCCATTCCCTCCCATAGTGAATGATTGTCCTATTTACTCTACACATCACCAATCTTTCCAAATGGAAAGACATTTGACAGTTTGAAAGGAGGTAAGTGGCACAGGGAAGGTGACCCTTTGTCCTTGCCCAAATTGGCATCTAATCTTCCCCACATGAGTGTTTCCTGACTCCATTAACTTTTCTCTCTTTTCTGACTGCCCTGCAGATGTGAATGAATGTGGAGTCAAACCCCGGCCATGCCAGCACAGGTGTGTGAATACACACGGTAGCTATAAATGCTTTTGCCTCAGCGGCCACATACTTCTACCAGATGCCACATGTTCAAGTAAGTTTCAGCAGCCATTTAATACTGAAGCCTTGCCACTTGATATTTGTTGCACGGTGCAAGTGACTTAGTTGAGTAACTTTGAAAACATATCTAGGGTTATCCTGGTGTGGTCCTGCACATCTTTAATCCCAGCATTCATAAGGTAGAAGCAATCAGGTCTCTGTGGTCTCTGTGAGTTTGAGGCCAGTCTCATCTACATAGTGAGTTCCAGGCTAGGCAGGACTACATAGTGAAACCCTTTCTCAAAAAAAACAAAACATATTTAAAGTTAAGAATATGGCTTAGTTGGTAGAGTGCTTGCCTAGCATGAAAAAAAAAAAAATCCCTGGGGTTTGAGCCCCAGCACCACATAAGCATGCATGATAGTACATTTCTGTAATGCTAGCATTCAGGAGGTGGAAGCAGGAGGATAAGAAGTTAGTTCAAAGTCAAATCGAGTTATAAATCAAGCTTGAAATCAACATGGGGATACATGAGACTCTGCCTCAAAAAAAAAAAAAAAAAAAAAAACCACAAAAAAAAGTCTTTGACAACTCCAAAGGCTAAAACATCTTTGGGCACCTCCTTTTTAAAAAATTATGGTAAAATGTGCACAACATAAAATTCACCATTTTAACCATTTGAAACTGAGCAAACCAGTGACCTGCAACCATCACAATGTTCAGCCACCACCACCACAATCAAGTCCCAGAACAAGTTCATCACCCCTAAAGAGAGCACAACCATTGAGCTGGCAAGGTGGCTTGATGGATAAAAATACTGGCCATGCGAGCCTGATGGCCTGAGTTTGATGCCTGGAACTCTCAAAAGCCTGGCTCCCATTCGTAATTCCCAGCACTCTTAATTCAAATATGGGAGGTGGAGACAGGAGCATTGGCAGGAAGTTCATGACATACACAGTGTAACAAGTTACAAGAGAGACTATGGCTCAACAAGGCAGAAGACAAGAATCAAGTTCTGAAAGTTGTCCTCTGACCTCCACATGTGTACTATGGCGTTCATGTAAATAACACTCACACACACACACACACACATGCTCACTCATTTGTGCTCTCTCTCTCTCTCTCTCTCACACACACACACACACACACACACACACACACACTACTTTAACAAAATTTAAAACATACTAAAAAAAAAAAAAAAACATAACTATTAGCAGCCACTCCCTGTTGCCCTCAACAGCTACAAATCTGCTTTTTGTCTCTATGGATTCTCTTCTTCTAGACATTTACTTTATAAAAGAAAAAAAAAGCTCAATGGGGAAAATCAATTTTATCATGAAACTAGGCATGGTGAGCAAAGGGAGGTGATAAATTTCCACACCATCCCAAGACATCAATCCTTCCCACAAGCTATCTTTCTCACGCCACTTGCCCCGCTCCCAGAGATTAGTGTGTCTAGTTGGAAATGCATTCTGGCTCACATTCCGGGAAATAAAAGCCCTTCTGTGATAATGAAACTCATGTCCTGTGGGAGGGTGGGAGTCTCCATCCATTCATTCCTTGAGGGGAGAGGCTTTTTAAGTTTTTTATTGCACCTGAAAGGCAAACCCACCTTCCCTGCCTGCCTTCCCTCCTCTTTTGCCATCTCATTTTCTTCTGCCCCTCTCCCACCCCCACAGAAAACACAAGCCTGCTGCAGTCACCCAGTTTCCTAGGGTTGCAGTTATGTAGGCCCCTAGCCCATCCCCAGATGCCTAGCTCTCCCCTGGCTTCTTTGTCCTAGCCCTACATCACCATTAACTCAGATCCTCCCTTAGCATACAAATCTAAGAGATACCACACACATTTGCAGTGTCTTTTTCAAATATCCTTAGTCTTAGGAATTAAACAGAAACCTACAGGAAACAATCTTGTAGCTTAATGAATTCTGGTACAGCACTCTTGTGACTACCACCAACCAGAATGTCCTTCTCTCAGATTCAGGATCAGGAGCCTTATCAGTTGAGCTACCCAAGCCTTTTCAGAACTTCCTCCTCTTAGACCTCCCCAAAGGGGACCATTATCTTGGCTTTTACAGTGATCACTTCAAACTTTTTAAAAGATGAATGCTAACGGATGGTTCTGAAACATTCTGGGAGAGCCCATTCAGTGCCAAAAAGAGATATCTTTCTCCATATGGAAAGATAGTTAATTTTCATAATTAAGTTTCAAAGAAGAGAGCTAAAGAGAAGAGAAATGAATAATATAATCATGAGTAGGTATTTGTTTTCTTACATTAAGTCTCCATTCCTGCATCCTCTTTCTTTACCTCTGAGGATTATTTGTGCCTCACCAATAAGAGCTTAAGGAATAGTCCTTGATCTATTTCCTGGGTGCTGATTTATTTCCTCCTGGCCCATTTCACTGTCTCTGGTCCCTCTTGGTGACTAATATTTTATGGAGGTGGGTGAATGGAGTATATTTAACAAAATCATGATTGTGATCACTGGTCTGGGAATATAAGATGTTTTGAGGGGGCTGGGAAATGGCTCAGTAGGTCAAAAGCACTTGTCCTGCCAGCATGAAGACCTGAGTTCAAATCCCCAGAACAATTGTAAAAACAAAACACATAGCACAATGGTCTAAAATCCCAACAACACAACACTGTAGGAAGATGTGGAATAAAAATAAAAGACTCCCTAGACATTTCCAGGCCAGCTAGCCTGGAGTACACAGTGGAAAAACAACATCAATCAACATTCTTGGAAAGTGAGGCCTGGCACCCACAGTTGTCCACACAGATATTGTGGCACATACATACACACCTGAACTCACACATGTAAACATGCACATCCATGCATGTGCACATCCATGCACATCCCACACACACAGTTGCATACATTCATGCTTGCATGATGGGTTTTTTTTAAGTTCATATGCATTTACAATCCATATATATTGAACTTTTGCTTAGTAAGTATATTTTTGTGAAATAAGTTGTGTTAAGCAAAAAGTGACTAAAAACTATGTCATTTATTTAAAATGTTGAAGACAACCAGTTTCAATGAATGTTAATAAAGACTTAGTCTCCACTGTCCTCAGAGTGATTTTCTACTCATGTTTGTGGCCTCTCAGCGATCATATGGCTGCTTTAGCTCCCGGTGTCATGTACACATTAAAAATAAGCAAAGAAAAGGAGATAGAGGTGCTACCAATGAGCCACTGCTTCTTTCATGCCTGCTCCTCTTATCATTCAGTCAGCATCTTTCACAACAGACTCATCTTACTTTTGTTTGCTTGCTTGTTTGAAACAGAATCCCATGCATCCTGGGTTCCCCTCAAACTCACTACGTAGCTAAAATAACCTTGAACTTGTGATTCTCATTTCACTTCCCCCAAGAGCTGAGATTGCAAGCATGTGCTACCATACCCATTGACATAGGAACAGAAGAATCCCTAGAGGTCTCCAGGCCAACTAGCCTGGAGTACACAGTGGAAAAACAACAGATACCTGTGGTGTGGTGCTAGGGATCAAATGCAGTGCATCATGCAGACTAGGCAAGCACTCTACAACGGAGATCCATCTGCAATCCCTCCAGTAGACTTATCTTTGTTTTTCTTTGGCCACACCAAGACATGTAGCCACTTTCAGCTGCAAGGGAAGCCAGACAAGTATCTGGATTGTCAGCTATACATTTTCACAATGGTAAAAATGACAAGGAAAATGGGGCCCAGAATAGCTGTTGTGGGAGTGACCACCTGTAACTGCCACATTATTACAGGTGCCTGACACACCAAATTCTGTGGCTTGAGGCTACACATTTGTTCAAAGATCTCTTGAGTTATTTTACTCTAACTACTCACACTGATAATCTACATCAGCAGTTAGTTTTCATCCTCTAGACACTGGCCATGTGACTTAGTGATCTGAGTGCATGTAAGTGAGAAAAGGGCTGAGGAGGGAGTTCAGTTTGTATCATGCTTACCTACCTTATACAGACCCTGGGTTTACTCCTCAGTACTGCATAAACCAGGTGTGTCACATTCCTGTTATCTCAGAATTTTTGAAATGGAGAATCAGAAAGTTTTAAGGCTGCACACTGTGTTCAAGGCCAGTCTGAGATACGTGAGAAGAAAATGTTTCAATTTAAAGGACACACAGAGTCAGAGACAGACACACAGAGAGAGAAAGGGAAAGAGAAGGGGGTACAATCAGAGCTGTATGTTCTGCCTCGAGATAATCAAGTGCAGTGCATTTCATTGGTCAATAAAACAAACCATAAGTGAGTGAGCTTCATCCCATGGGCCGCCATGACAACATTCCTTCCCAGATTCCTCTTGGGTTTCAATTTAGGACCCAGACCATGAAGCCTATCCTAAGACATACTACATTTCACATCTCAGAATTGGAAGAGACTTTCTTAGTTAATCTTTGTCTACTTTTGCAGATTCTAGGACGTGTGCTAGGACAAACTGCCAGTACAGCTGTGAAGACACAGAAGAAGGACCACGGTGTGTGTGTCCATCCTCTGGCCTCCGCCTGGGCCCAAATGGAAGAGTGTGCCTAGGTAAGACAGAAGGTGTCACCACCATTTCCTCTCCGTTCCTCTCTAACCCCCTCCCATTCTCCCTCCCTTCCTTCTCCACTGAATTCTGTTTTCATCCATCACAGGGCTTGTGCTGGCTGGATATGGCAAATTCATCAAAGTATCGATGTGTCTATTTATGGACTATCTTCAGTCATTTGTGCTCTCTAAATACTTTGGGATACAAGGAAAAGCAGTCTTCTAGTAATCTATACTGCCTAATGCCTTAATGGACAGGGAATGAAATTTCTTTTTACTTACTGTATTGACACTGCATATTTGACTTCAAATTACCATTCAGCTGATACTATGCCACTTATTCATTGGGTCAGATCTTATGAGCTGTTAGGATTTGTATCAATTTCTGGCTATCATTTTCCTGGAAAACATGTATTTACTTATTTGTCCTCAGTATTAATTTATTGAAAATAGTATATGCCTCCTCTGCCGTTTAGGCACTGATTTAAATACTTTTCCATATTCTCTTTAAAACTTGCTCTAGGGAATGGGGTTGTAACTCAGAGAGTGCTTGCCTAGCATGCACAAACCCTTGGGTTCAATCCACAACACTACATAAATATGTGGTAGAGTATACAATTTACCATGGCACTCAACAGATGAGGGCAGGGAGATCAGAGCTCATCATGGAGATCAGAGGTCCTCAGCAAGTTCAAAGCCAGTCTGGATCACCTACGAATTTCTCAAACAAAAACAAGCCTTTAAATTACTCAGCACATAGTAGGTAGTGGCAAGCAGACTTCTGTGGGTACAAGGCCAGCTTGGTCCACATAATGAGTTCCAAGCCAGCCAGAAATACATAATGAGACCCTGTCTTTAAAAGGCAAAAATAAGTGGAACGCAGTGGCACACACCTGTAATCCCAGCACTCAGAAAGCTGGCAAGTCTCTGTGAGTTTGAAGACAGCCCCATATACAAAGCTTAATCCAGTTACAGCCAAGGCTACAGAGAGAAATCCTGTCTCAAAAAAAGTAAAAATAAAATTTCATTGTTCTTTCTGACTAGACAAAATGGGCAGATTAAATGGGAACCAGTTAAAGAACACATAAACTGTTCATTTAAATTTAGTAAAATCTATCTGGGTGCGGTGACCTGCGACTGTCATCCCAGTACTTGGAGAGGCAGAGACAGGTGGATCTCTGAATTTCACACCAGCCTTGTCTATAAAGTCCAGGACAGTCAAGGTTACACAGAAAAAAAAAAAAAACCTGTCTTGAAAACAAAACAAAAAAAAATTAGTAAAATCTGTGGCCTATAGCTATAACTTTCTTGCTCTCCTTGTTTTACTGCACATCTTAGTTTGTGAGTCCACAAAAGCTGACCAAACAGTTGATTCTCTAAGTGATCCCAGGAAACACTGGTTGAGGACCTAGAACATGTCTCAGGGAAAGAGAGGTACCAGCACTGGGCCAGTCGGTGAGCAGGTTCAATGAGCTCTGGGCACCTCTGTTACTTTTCTCTTTGCTGTGATCCAAACACTTGACACTTATGAAGACTTTCTTCCTTAAAAAAGGATGCGCTTATTTGGGCTTAGAATTTGAAAGGATGTGGAATATTAAAGTGGGGGAGGCATTGCAGCTACAGTGTAAGGTGAAGCAGCTGCCACAAGAAGTCCACAATCAGAGAGCAGAGAACTTTCTGGAAGTGAGGTTTGTCTATCAGAATTCAAGCCCCGCCCCCAGTCACTCCCTCCCTCCTGTAAGCTCCTCCTCCTAAAAGTGCCAAAGTCTTTCCAAACATCACCAGTGACCAAGTTTTCAAATGCATGAGCCTATGGGGGACATTTCACATTCAAACCACAACTCTTGGAAAAGCTGCCTCTTGGTTCTCCTTCTCTGGCAAGGTTTTTGGGTGTGTCTCCATCAACACCTGCTATTCCCTCATGGGAGGCTGCTCCAGGGTTAGACCAATGAAATGATGATGCGCACAACAGATTTTATATGAAAGAGGTTTATTGGATGGAAATGAAGAGAGAGAGAGAGAGAGAGAGAGAGAGAGAGAGAAGGAGAGAGTGAGACATGATAGGGGGAAAGAAGAGAGAGCCCTAATAGAGAAAGGGAGTGAGAGAGAGAAAGAGAGCAAGTGGGCAAGAGAGCACCAAAGTGGTCTTTGGTCCTTTTAAGAAGCAACTTAACTACACCTGCCATGCCTATGACATCATAGGTTGCTAGGCAAACCAGACGCAGGCTGCCTAAATACTAACACCTAGTCCTTAAAATCTGGACCAGGAGCAAGTCTAGCAGGCAGCTTATGAAAACTTGGCAGCTGAAATCCAATTTCACCCATTTTCGCATTTCGTTCATCTTTGTGAGTTTGAATATGTTCAATCACCTAATTGTATATGTTTCTAACAATTATATTGCACCAAATATACATAACATTTAGATTGGGTGAGCACATAGTCTCAATAAGGAAAGAACTAATGAAACCAGAATTTTGAAAAAAGCTCATATTTCTTTCATTTAAAATGTAAGCATGATGTAACAACCTCTTGAATCTAATAGAAATATTTTTCAGTCAAGATGCTGGATGTTTATTTGTTCTAAATGTACATAGTTTGATGAATTCTGTGTATAAAGTAAGCTCAGCCCTATAGGCCAGGGAAGCACTTTTTAAAAATGTACATGTATATTAAACTTTGTCTCCTTATTTATTTATTTGTTTGTTTGTTTATTTATTTATTTAATTTTTGCTATGTTTTACTGTTGTTATTGTTGTTTGGTTTGGTTTTTCAACACAGGGTTTCTCTGTGTATTCCTGGCTGTCCTGGAACTCACTCTGTAGATCAGGCTGGCCTCAAACTCATAAAGATCCTCCTGACTCTGCTTCCTGAGTGCTATAATTAAAGGCCTGCAAACAGCAACACCCAGTTCCTGTCTTCATTTCAGGAGTGACCAAAGATTTAATTAGGTTCATAGAGCTTAGTATCCTTTAGTACAAGATTTACCTGATATGGCTAAATCTTGATCCAACAGAATTTAAATTTTTACCTATCTCCTTCATTGGTTGGGTACCATTGTAATTGGAAGGGAGAGCTGACGCTCAGGAAAATGATCATGGAACCATAAGTTAACTCAACTCAATACTTGTTTGTTATTTTAAGAGTGCAGCAAGATAAATCAGTTGGTGAAGTACTTGCTTGACATGCATGTGTCCTCAGATTGATCCCTAACATATGCTAATGGGGTGGGAGCTGTGCAATGGAAACAATAAGCCAGAATCAATTTTCATGCTTAACCCAAGGTCCAACCTACTTGATATCTATAAATTAGAGCAATGCCTGAGTCTTAGCAGATTGCTCAGTATAGCTGTCAGCCCTGCTGTGTGATGATATCACATTCAATAGAGAGAAAAGGAACATGCCTAGAGTTGGTTTAAGTTGTAATGTTACAGCCGGCCTTTAAGTGAGGCCAACATCATCTACAAAGCTAGTCCAGGACAGCCAAGGCTACACAGAGAAACCCTGTCTGGGAAAATAAAACAAAATAAAAATAGTTGACTTGTTACACAACTATACTCAACCCACAGCTTAAGCAACAGCATATTCTTACACAACTACATTTTTTTGTGATTTGTGTCAGTCTCATAGGAGCTTACAAGGAGCTGTGTAATACTTTTACAAAATGCAAGTCTTAAATGTTTGTGTCTTTTGCTCAGAGTTTGGCTACCTTCACTTCCAAAAATTGTATGCTATACAATAGAATTAGTAGCTTGGGAAAAAAGGTCACTCGGCACATATGTAAAGCATAGGTACTACATGCCAGGGACACACTAGGCCCTAGAAGAGCTGGGGCCTAACACATGAGCAGAAATAAGGAGTGGGGATGTAATTCAGTTGATAGGGTGCTTGCCTAGCATGCATGCCAGCCAGTGTTCCAACCCCAGCATCATATAAACAAGGCATGGTGGCACACACACCTGTAATCCCAGGACTAGAAACATGGAGGCAGGAGGATGAGGAGTTAAAACACATTCCTGGCTACAGAGTGAGTCTGAGCTCAAACCAAGATACATGTCAGAGAGGTTTCGGGAGGTGAATATAAGTAATGACATTACAGCCAGGTAACAACTCCAAGAAAAGATGGGCATATTGCTCTGGACCTGTAAACTAAAGACCTGTGCATGTACCTGGTGAAGATCTAGAATACTTCTTGAAGTTATGCCATAGGCAGCAGATAATCAGTTTTCTAGGCAAGGAAACTGTCCATGTGCTTGAGCATTGTGTGCTGGGTATGAGGTGAGTACCCATGAGTGCGCATGTGTTGGAGAACTCTTCCTGCAACCACTGACAGCTTCTCTTCCTAGATATTGATGAATGTGCTTCCAGCAAAGCAGTCTGCCCTTCCAATAGAAGATGCGTGAACACATTTGGAAGCTATTACTGCAAATGTCACATTGGTTTTGAACTGAAATATATCAGTCACCGATATGATTGTGTAGGTAAGATCCAGTGGCATTTTTTTCTTGCCTCCAAAGCTTATGGGCCTTCTCTTCAGGCACTTTTTATGCATTCAGTCTACTACATTGACCATCTGGACAACACACACACACACAAAAAAAAACCACCCACTAATATTACATTTTTGGCATTTAGGTAACTCCAGTGAGATTAATTATAAAGCCAGGTCCATAGTGATTTAAACAAATAAGTATAACTCTGTTATGGAAGCAAATATCTTGAGAAGATTCCTATGAAGTTTTTTTTAAGCTGGTAAATTTATTTAGTTTATATGTTTGTTTATATCTCTAAGTACATATCTATGAATCAAAGCAATAAAGAAATTTTTTTATTTGCTATAAGATTAAGAATATCTCAGTGACAAGGCATGGTGGCTCACACCTGTAATCCCAGCACTCAAGAGGCAGAGGCAGGTGGATCTCTGTGAGTTTGAGGCCAGCCTGGTCTACAAAGCATGTCCAGGATAGCCAAAGCTATACAGAGAAACCCTGTTTCAAAACTGAAAAACAGAAGATCTCAATGGTCTGTTCTTAATATTTTCCATTGGATTGACTTTACAAAAATATCTGAAGGAGACTGGAGAGACGGCTCACTGCTTACAATCACGAAGACCTGAGTTTGGATCCCAGCACCCATGTAACAAACAAAGTATTCTGAAAAACAGCTGAATCCCAGCTCTAGGGAGCAGCGACAGGAGGATCACTGGGTTCTGCTGTCTTCTAGCCTACCTAAGAAAGCAGGAGCCCCATGGAGAGACTCTTCCTCAAAAAAAAAAAAAAAAAAGGCAAATAACCATAGAAGAAGACAGTCAATATCCTCTTCTTGACTCTGCTCGAGACACAGGCACACACAAACACACACCAGTTTTGTAAAGGAAAAGTGTATGGAGGGGATCATGTGCTTTCCTCTTTCTTCTGTTAGCCCTTTTGTAGTTCAAGTGTGCATAAAATCACTTTCTGCTAACACTGTTTTTGGTGAGCTACCAGTCTCATCTTAAAATATGAACATCTCTTAATGAAGGGATTCCAAGCCTCAAAGAGCCGGTGAGGTCAGATATGAATACCTGTTGTTCTTAATTTACTGTCCTACAGGGAAGAGAAATTTGGGTGACCTCTAGCTCTCTATTCACGGAATATTGGTGACAAAGATATGCACTTGACACAGAGAGCTAACTGTTGGAGAAAATATGATTCTTTCAATCCTGTACTTAAAGTTTTTTGAGACCTGTCTTGTATCATCATGTTGGGGCAACACCCCATTGCTGTTTTTTTTTTTTTTTTTTTTAATGATTTTCGTTTTTGAACAGGTATTCCCTCAAACCTTCTTAAATACAAAGACTACCCTAGACAAGAGCATAAAATTCATGTTTGTCATGAGCTTGGACCCACACCAGGACCTCACTCTGTCCTGTCGATCCAGCTAGCTGTGCAAACCAATGACAGTGTGCAGTGTTGCCCAGTTCGCTGACACTACAAAATGTTCTCCCACACAACATGTTGGGAATCCACAGGACTTCCCAAGGAAGCAAATCTCTGATGTACTAAAAGTAGCCAAGATTAGCATCAGAGCTCCTTTGGTGACTGAGTTCAAAACAATACACTTTTGTGTACTTACGTGCACAGAAGCATAGGCAGGACATAGGGTGGAGGGGAGAGCACTTGAAGCTCCCACTTTGGAGGAACCTGGCCAATTTTCTACCTCTAAATCCAACAGACGAGTTCAAACCAGCCTGACCCTTTCCCCTGGCAGGTTTTGAACAAAATGCCCATGCCTATGCATTTAGATGGTGGCATAGGTTCCTGGATGATCCTGCCTTTTGTTTGTGAGGAGTTTCAAGCCAACATTAGAATTTATTTTCTGTTATTGTTCTTTAGTTTCAGTTTACATGGATGAAATCAAACCAATCCAAAATTTAGCATTTATTTCACACATTTATGTTATTTAGTTCCAGATTATGTGGGTGAAAAGGTTAGGGAGAAACTCCAAATACCTTATCAGATCTCAATAGCATTAATAATAAGCAAGCCAAGAAGTTAGTCTGAGGGAGGAGAGTTTTGGGCACCCTCCCTACATACCAGGCAGGCGCCAGGCAAAGCCAGGGCTCCCAGCCAAAAGGCCTCTGGTTTTGAACACCTCTCCATTCTTGGGCAGCACTTAGTTTGCTGAGGTGTTGAGTAGTTGGCTCTGAAGTTGCTCAAGTAAAAAGGCTACTCTTTCAGTGAACCCTTTTATCATAAAGTTGTTCACTGGAATGCCCCTCCTTTCAGATATAAATGAGTGTGCTCTGAATACCCACATGTGCAGCCTCCATGCCAATTGCCTCAACACCCAAGGATCCTTCAAGTGCAAATGCAAGCAGGGATATAGGGGCAATGGACTTCAGTGTTCTGGTAAGTAGCATTTGGTCATGACAATTTTCCTGTCTGTGCCCCCCCACAAAAGCATTCTTTCCAGATAGTGTGTGTGTGTGTGTGTGTGTGTGTGTGTGTTTCTCAACCTACTGTCTTTTCCTAGTTGGGCTGTATTTCTGGTACTCACAAAAGTTATAGGCACAAAACTGAAAGACCAAGGGCTGGCATATAGTTCAGTTAGGAGAGTGTGTCACATGTAGAAAGCCTGGCCCCCAGTAACCCATAAACTAGGTCTGGTAATCTCAGTACTTGTAATAGGTAGACTCAGGAGGCTCAAATATTCAAGGTTATCCTCCAATATATAGTGATTTTGAGCCCAGCCTGGGATATATGAGACCCTGTCTCAAAAACAAACAAACAAATAAACAAAAACTGTTGGGGGGACAAACAAACAAAGGCAGTATTTCTTATTTTTCTGGTTACCAACACTTTCATCAGGACTTTTTCCGGAACAGCAACCAAGATAGGATGTGGTAGACATTACTTCTTGTCATCCTGAAATCTACATTCTCTCTATCTCTCTCTCTCTTCCTCATTCCCTCTCTGTCTTTATCTGTGTGTGTATGTGTGTATCTTTAATAAACCCTTTAATGGTACCGAGTTTTAACTGTAAATGTATGAGTCAGACACGAAACTAAAAAATGTAGAACAATAGGAAAAGTGATTTCCCATGAGTATTATGTCTGAAGAAATGTTCCAAAAGATTTCTTACTTGGAGAGGAACCCAACCTGACGCTCCATAATCTTATGGTACTAGGGTATTAATGCAAGCCTTTCTGATTTTTCACACCCTGGAAAGAAGCATGGACAATTAGATATCAGCCCTTATTATTTCAATTTGGAAGTGTTGGATTTCTAGGGCCAAACTAATAATGATGATGATAGTGGTAGTAATGGTGATGGGTGATGGTTGATGGTGGTGTAGGTGAACACTGGAAAATCCAGGGAGCATATGGAATACCTTTCAGGGCAAGTTATCTATACTTACAGTGAAAGCCATTCCCTGGTAAACAGAGTCCTACAGTGTTAGAAGTCAACCAGTGAGCATGGTGACTCATGCCTGTACTCCCAATACTTGAAAGGTGGAAGGAGGAGGATAATGACTTCAAGGTCCTCCTCAGACTGAGACAAATCCATTTATGAGAAGCTTGTCATGGGGTTAAAATGAGGTGACATAAGTAGAAAGCTTCATTCAGCGGTCACACATTAGTTGCCCATCATCTCAACCCACTGTTGAAGGCCAGAAACTGTACTGTGAAAGTCTAGAAACAAAAGTGCAAAAATGCTGTGCATGAAAAAAATAGAAGCTCCACGAAAATATGTTTCTTTAAAGAGGCAACTTACTCTCTGTAGACCAGGCTGACCTTGAACTCACAGAGATCCACCAGCTTCTTCCTCCCAGAGTGCTGGGATCACAGGCGTGAGCCACTGTGCCCAGCTTGAATTAAGTTTTTCTTGCTGCTGTTGTTTTCCAGACAGGGTTTCTCTATGTAACAGCCCTGGCTGTCCTGGAACTCCCTCTGTAGCCCAGGCTGGCCTTGAACTCACAGAACCTCCTGCCTCTGCCTCCTGAGTAAAAGGTGTGTGCCACCACCACCTGGCCGAATTAACTCTTGAGAAGGGACAAAGTGTATCTTTGTCCTTTATCAGAAAGCTTCCTGTACATGCTCTGTAGACCAGACTGGCCTTGAACTCACAGAGATTCACCTTGCCTCTGCCTCCCTGAGTGCTGTGATTACAAGCATGTGCTACTGCATTTGACATCAAACATCATTAATAGAATAGATCAAAAAGTATTAAAGAAATAAACAAAAAAAGTTTTGAAAATGTAAAAAATAAGCATAAAAATGAAAGTTTAAAAAAAAGGCATGCTTTACCAGAAGAAAAATAACAAAGCCTTCTGTTAGTGGACCACAACAAAACCCTGCTATGTCTACCTTCCTTTCTTTCACATGGTATTTTAAATTTGAATAAGGGAGCAATTTTAATACTCTCTCTTTTTATATGATATTTCAAATTTTAAAGTCAGGCAAGTCTGATATTTCCCCCTTCTTTTATCCATCACTATTTTTTACTAGCCAAGTTAGTATGTTGCCAGGGACACAGAAAATAGAACCAGAAGTGGTCCCACTGTGATGACTATCAAGCCTGGCTGATGATTTTTAAATTTATTTTCTTTATTCCTTAACAATTTCATAAATGTGTCTAATTTTTTTTTTTTTTTGGTCATTTGGCACCTCCCTCCCTTTAGCCTCTCTTACTGCTCCCATTGAATCCCTTTTTCTGAGGTCTCCCTCCTATTTTAATGTCTTAGTTGTTGTTGTTCTGTCTTTTTCTTTCAAGGAGGGCAGTGACCTACTGAATTTAATTAATTACAATTGCTTACATGAGCATGGGATGGGGGAAGGTTATTTATTAAAGCATGGGCAGTTTACCAGCATCTACACCATTTTAGAAAATGACTCTCCCCTCCTCCAGTAACCATCAACTGCAAACAGCTCCTTGGAGGAGGTGCAGCCTCATAAGCCCATTCTCCATCCATAAAGGAATGTTGATAGGCTACATCTTATGCAGGTTACCACAGCTACTGTGAGTAACATGCAATTCAAACGTGGAATGCCAGGTCATGTCTAGAGGACAGTGTTTCACAGCACAAATCCTCATGCTCTGGTGCTCATGTTTTTCTACCTGTTCTGCCAGGGTGCTCCCTGAGACTTAGAGGGGATGCTATGGACATCTTATTTGGGGCTGATTTTGAAAGCACTTACTTCCTACACTTGAACACTTCCAAAATGGTCTATTGTTCATGAATGATCTCAACCAGATGGAGATTCTCATATGCTACTTTTTGGTCTAGTTATCCCTGAAAATTCTGTGAAGGAAGTACTCAGAGGACCTGGGACCATCAAAGACCGGATCAAGAAGTTACTAGCTCACAAACACAACATGAAGAAAAAGGTGAAACTTAAAAATGTCACTCCGAGACCCACCAGTGCACGCATACCTAAGGTTAACTTGCCTTTCAGCTCTGAAGAAAGCATTTTTAGGGGCAGAAACTCTAATGAAGAACAAAAAAGGAAGGAAGGAAGGAAGAGAGAGGAGCTTGAAGAAGAGAAAGGAGACAAAGCCCTGAAAAACGAGATAGAACAGGAGCGGAGGCTTCGTGGGGATGTGTTTTGTAAGTATTGCTATTGTTATTCTTGCATTTTAGTTATAAAATGAATGTGATTCCTCATAGCTTAGCTCCAATTTTATATATTGTGAGTCTGAAACATACAAACATTTTATTTAAAAAAGCCATTTTAATACAATTACTTTTAAAATCAAAAATAAAAATATCACACAGTAACTTTGAGGAGGCCACTTAAACACTTGCATATTTCCAAAGTCTATACATCTCAGTGAGCTTCTATACATTTATCATGGCCATTCTGAAGCTGTGGAGCTTCACTTGGGGTTTCACATTTTTAATACCAATACTTTTATGCACTTATCCACCCCAGAAAGAAAAATTATGGTAGAATTGAAACTTGGGGGGGGGGGGGGAAAACAGCTTTATACACTCTTTCTTGACTTGTGTCCTTTTGCCTGTATTCTGTATTTTCTCACCAGACGTAATTTTCCCTGTATTCTGTTCATTCTCATCACCTGTCATTTTGGCAGTATTCCATTCTTCCTTGTCATCTAATACTGCCCTCTCTTATTTGTCTTTCTAAATGCTTTATTATATCCACACTCCAACCTGTTGACATACATATATTAGGAGCTAGGATCAACATATGAAGACATGCTGTGAATTTTTAATGCTTTTTTTATTAGTACTTAATGCAAATATATTTTGCTTTCTTTTTTATTATCATTTATTACAACTTATTCAATATGTATCCCAGCTGTGACCCCTCCCTCCTTTCCTCCCAATCTCACCATCCTTCCCTCTTCTCCTCCTATGTCCCTCCCCTAGTCCACTGATAGGGGCGGTCCTCTTCCCCTTCTATCTGAACCTAGCCTATCAGGTCTCATCTGGACTGGCTGTTTTGTCTTCCTCTGTGGCCTGTTAAGGCTGCTTCTCCTTCAAGGGGAGGTGATCAAAGAGCCAGCCTTGGAGTTCATGCCAGAGACAGTCCCTGCTCCCCTTACTAGGGAACCCACTTGGAGACTGAGTCTGTGGGCTACATCTGAGCTGGGGCTTTAGGTCCTCTCCATATATTGTCCCTGGTTGGGGTATCATTCTCTTCAGAGCCCTCAGGGCTCAGTTTTTTTTATTTTGTTTGTTTGTTTGTGGGTTTGGGTTTTTTTTTTGTTGTTGTTGTTGTTGTTTTGTTTTTTGTTTGTTTGTTTGTTTGTTTGTTTTTGCTCTGTTGGTCCCCTTTTGGAGCTCCTGTCCCCTCCAGATCTTTCTATCTCCTCCATCTTTCATGCATTCTGCTATGAGTCTCACCCTCTGCTTTGAAGCCTCGATCAGTAAGCCCTCTGTGGTAGGTGCCAAATCTATTCCCTCTCTTCTCCTGCTTCCGATGTCTATCGTGTTTGCCCTTTTGAATGAGGATTGAGCAACTTCACCACGGTCTTCCTTGTTGTTCAGCTTCTTTAGGAGTATAGATTTTAATATGTTTATCCTATATTATATATCTAATAACCACTTATGAGTGAGTATTTTACCATGTGTGTCTTTCTGTTTCTGGGTTACCTCACTCAAGATGATCTTTTCTAGTTCCTACCATTTGTCTGCAAAGTTCATGATTTCCTTGTTTTTAATTGCTGAGTAGTATTCCATTGTATAATGTACCACAATTTCTGTATCCATTCCTCCGTTCAGGCACATCTGGGTTGTTTCAAGATTCTGGCTATTACAAATAAAGCTTCCATGAACATGGTTGAGCAAATGTCCTGGTTGTATACTTGAGCATCTTTTGGATATATGCCTAGGAGTTGTAAGGCTAGATCTTGAGATAGCACTAATCCTAACTTTCTGAGAAAGTGCCAAATTGAGTTCCAAAGTGGTTGTACAAGTTTACATTCCCACCAGCAATGGAGGAGGGTTCCCCTTTCTCCACATCTTATCCAGCATATTTTGTCACCTGAGTTTTTGGTCTTAGCCATTCTGATGGGTATAAGGTGAAATTTCAGGGTCGTTTTGATTTCCATCTCCCTGATGACTAAGGAAGTTGAACATTTCTTTAAGTGTTTCTCTGCCATTTCATATTCCTCTATTGAGAATTCTCTCTTTAGCTCTGTTCCCCATTTTTTTAAGTGGATTACTTGGTTTGCTGCTTTTCAGCTTCTTTAGTTCTTTATATATACTGGATATTAGTCCTCTGTCAGAAAAAGGGTTGTTAAAAATTCTTTCCCAATCTGTAGGCAGTCATTTTGTTCTGACGACAGTGTCCTTTGCTTTACAGAAGCTTCTCAGTTTCATGAGGTCCCATTTATTGATTGTTGATCTTAGAGCCTGTGCTGTTGCTATTCTGTTCAGGAAGTTGTCTCCTGTACCAATGAGGTCAAGGCTCTTCCCCACTTTTTATTCTAATTTGTTTAGCGTTTCTGGCTTTATGTTGAGGTCTTTGATCCACTTGGACTTTAGCTTTGTGCAGGGTGATAAGTATAAATCTATTTGCATTTTCTACATGTAGACATCCAGTTAGACCAGCACCATCTTTTGAAAATGCTATCTTTTTTCCATTGTATTGTTTTGGTTTTTGTCAAAAATCAAGTATCTGTAGGTGTGTGGATTTATTTATGGGTCTTCTATTTGATTCCATCGATACTCTGGACTGTTTCTCTGCCAATATCATGCAGTTTTTATTACTGTGTCTCTATAGTACAGCTTGAGGTCAGGGATGGAGATACCTCCAGAAGATCTGTTATTGTACAGGACTGTTTTAGCAATTCTGGGTTTTTTGTTTTTCCATATAAAATTGAGAATTGTTCTTTCAAGTTCTGTAAAGAATTGCATTTGTATTTTGTTGAGAATTGCATTAAATCTGTAGACTGCTTTTGGTAGGATGGCCATTTTCATTATGTTAATCCTACTGATCCATGAGCATGAGAGATCTTTCCATCATCTGATATCATCTTCCATTTTTTTTCTTCAGAGACGTGAAGTTTTGTCTTGTTTTGTTTTGTTTTGTTTTGTTTCATGCAGGTCTTTCACTTCCTTGGTTAGAGTCACACCAAGAAACTTTAGGTTATTTGTGGCTATTGTAAAGGCGGTAGTTTACCTAATTTCTTTCTCAGCACTTTTGTTTTTTTATATACAGGAGGGCTACTGATTTTTTTTTTTAGTTAATTTTGTATCAAGCCAGTTTGCTGAAGGCATTTATACATTGAAGAAGTTCTCTGGTAGATTTTTTTTGGGTTACTTATGTAGACTATCATATCATCTGTGAATACTGATACTTTGACTTCTTCTTTTCCAATGTGTATTCCCTTGATCTCCTTCTGTTGTCTTATTGCTCTAACTAGGACTTCAAGTACAATGTTGAAGAGATATGGAGAGAGTGGAAGGCTTTGCCTTGTCCCTGATTTCAGTGGAATTGATTTAAGTTTCTCTCCATTTAGTTTGATGTTGGCTATAGGCTTTCTTTATATTGCTTTTACTATGTTTAGGTATGTGTCTTGTATCCCTGATCACTCCAAAATTTTAAACGTGAGTGGATGTTGGATTTTGTCAAATGTTTTTTTAGCATCTAAGGAGATGATCATGTGGTGTTTTTCCTTCTGTTTGTTTATGTGGTATATTATATTGATGGATTTCCGTATATTTAACCACCCCTGCATGCCTTGGATGAAGCCTCCTTGGTCATAGTGGATGATATCTTTTATGTGTTCTTTGATTCTGTTTGTGAGTATTTTATTGAGTATTTTCTGTGTCAATGTTTTTGTGGCAGAAAAATAGGTCTGAAGTTCTCCTTTTTTTGTTGGGTCTTTTTGTGATTTAGGTATCAAGGTTACTGTGGCCTCATAGAATGAGTTTCGTAATGTTCCTTCTGTTTCTATTTTGTGGAATAGTTTGAAGAATATTGGCATCAGTTCTTCTTTGAAGGTCTGGTAGAATTCTGCACTGAACCCTTCAGGCCCTGGGCTTTTATTGGCAGAGAGACTTTTGATGACTGCTTCTATTTCCTTGGGGGATATAGAACTGTTTAATATGTTTATCCCAATCTTGGTTTAGCTTTGGTAAGTGGAATCTATCAATAAAATTGTCCATGTTGTTTAGATTTTCAAATTTTATGGGGTATAGGCTTTTGAAATAAGACGGAATGATCCTTTGAATTTCCTCAGTGTCTGTCATTGTGTCCCCCTTTTTGTTTCTGATTTTGCTGATTTGGATAGTTTCTCTCTGCCTTTTAGTTAATTTGGCTAAGGGTTTGTTTATCTTGTTGATTTTCTCAACGAACCAGCTCTTGGTTTCATTGAGTGTATGAAATATTTGTTTCTAATTTATTGATTTCAGCCCTGAGTTTGATTATTTCCAACTGTCTGCCCCTCTTGAATGTGTCTGCTTCTTTTCTTCCCCCCTAGGGTTTTCAGGTGTGCCATTCAGTTACTTGTATGATATGTCTCAAACTTCTTTCTGAAGGTACTTAGTACTAAAAATTACTAAGTAGTACTAAGAACTTTGCTTTTAGCACTGCTTTTATTGTGTCCCATATGTTTAGGTAAGTTGTCTTCATTTTCATTGAATTTAATTTCTTTATTTCTTCCTTGATCCAGCTGTCCTTTGGTAGAGAGTTGTTTAGTTTCCATGCTTGTGTAGGCTTTTTGTTATTTCCATTGTTGTTGGGGTCTAGCTTTGGGCCATGTGGTCTGACAGGATACAAGGGATTGTTTCAATCTTCTTTTCTCTGTTGATGCTTGCTTTGTGTCAGACTATATGGTCAATTTTGGAGAAGGTTCTGTGAGATGCTAGGGTTATGTGTTCCCTGCCGCTGTGGGTGGAACAAGTGATGGTACAGCCTATAGTGCAGGTGATCAATACTTTGCCACTCTCCAACCCCAGAGACATCCACAGGGGTCCTGGATCTAATTTGTCCCAGCTCATGGGTTGTTCCCTCTAGCCAGGGAAGCCTCAAAGTTGGTGCTCTGGATTCAGCTGCCCATCTAATCACCAGTTTCAGAGTTTCAGATCCTCTGCCCTTCAAAAACAGTGTGCACTGGTCACCACCATCTTGGATTCCATGGCAAAATGTTTGTAAACTGAACAAAGAGAAAATGGCTTGGCACTCAAGTGCTACATGGGATCTACTGCTCTGGGAAACAGAAGGGTAAATCCTCTCCTATTCTCTTATCTGGGTGCTTTCTATTTGGCAAAGCCACTCTCTGCAAGCATAGTTGTATGCCAGACTCTCCACAAAGAACACACACCAAATCAGAGACCCTCACACTGAATCTCCTAAGCATTTCCTTTTACCTCTTTTTAAAAAGACTTTTTTTTTTTTTTTTGAGAAAGGGTAGTTCTGGCTGGTCTGGAATTCACTATGTACAATAGGCTAGACTTGAACTCAAAGAACTAACTGCCTCTTCTTCTCAAGCAGTGAGATTAAAGATGTGTGCCACTGCACTCCACATTTTAAAAGTTTTTATGATTCCCAGCAGGTGGTGGTGGTTCAAGTCTTTAATCCCATCATCTGAGGCAGGTGGAGCTCCAATTTCAAGGCCAGGCCCACCTGATATACAGAGTGAGTTCCAGGACAGCCGAGGCTACAAAAAGAAACCCTACCTTAAAATAAAATTTTATGAGCATGTAATTTAATTACAAATAAAATATTCATACTTGTATATAGTATATTTTTTCATACTATGCTCTCGCTCTCTTGTCTTATTTCCCAGGCTCTTCCCAACTAGTCTCCTTTCTTTTCTTTTCTTTTTTCTTTCTTTTTTTTTTTTTTTGTTTCTTTTTGTTGTTTGTTTGTTTGTTTTTTGTGTGTGTTTTTTGTTTGGTGGGGCTTTTTTGGTTTTTCAAGACAGGTTTTTTTCAGTGTAGCCTATGCTGTTCTGAACTCCCTCTGTAGACCAGGCTGGCCTTGAATTTAAGAGATCCACCTGCCTTTGTCTCCCAGTGTTGGGATTAAAAGTTTTTTAATGTACCACCAGGCTACTTCCTTCTTTCATGGCTTTTGTTTTTATAACCTATTGCATGTGTGAATTCCTTCTTTGGGGGGATATGAACAACACCCCTCTGCCTCTCCTTATAAGGTCCCAACAATACCACAAAGGATGATTGCACCAGAGTCTAATTTGGGTAACCAATGAACTTATTAGGCTTGCTTACTAAGCATGAGTGATGAGCTGTTTACAGGGGTGTAAGTGATGTGCCAGATTCACAAGACCCCAAAAGACCACCAGGTATCAAGTCCATTGCAAAGCACATGAGGATCTTTTTATTACAAGCTATAGTTCAGGTTCATACACCCTCACCACCAATAGCGGCTGAGAGCACAGTGCCTCCTGCTCAGGGTAGGTGGTTGATTTAAAGAGTCCAGTCCCTCCTACTGTGCCCAAAGCAGGAAGGATTCCTGCCTGGCAAGCATCTATTGGTCAGAACAAAAAAGGGGATGTTTCATTTTGAATTGATTGGTTATAGGCAGGCCCCCAAACTATTAATGGTCTGGCTTCCCTTGTTTGGCTGTCCTAGGGGAGAGGGGCCGTTTTCCTAGCAACCATATCTCTAGTGGGCAGGAACAAATGCAGTATGGCTGGTTCTTCTCAGCAGGTGGCTGGACATGTCTCCACCAGTCTGGCCTTTGTTCAGGCTTGTGCTTTAAACCAATACCCCTCAAAAACTAATTTTTAGTTCTTTGCTCTCTCAGTGATGCCAAGGCGGCTGCACCACCATTAAGACTCACCTCTGCAAGGATGACAATGGTCCCCATGGTGCATAGATGGAGTCCCTCTTCAGTTAGTCAGCCACAACCTGTATACTCTGTATACCTCCCAAGACATGTAGTTAGGGTAGAATTATATACAAATGTCTGGGAGATACAAGAGGGAGTGTTTTATCCAAGTCTTGCAGAACCCAAAGACCACCAAGGAGCCAATTCCAATGCAAACTCAGTAGGGCCTTTTATTACAAGCTCCAGTTTGGGCCCACACTGTCACCAAGGCAGCAGTGTATCGTGTAGAGGGCCAAGCTCAAGGGAAAGAGGGTTTTTATTGGGTTACAGCAAGGTTTGGGAAATTACAGCTTAGCAGTTACACATTGGGTGACATTCAGCAAGGGCAAGCTTGTTACAAAGTGTTTGTAGCTAACTAACATTGAGCAAGCTATCTATAGACCTGAGGAATGTTAGGTGTTTCTATGCCATGAAAGTTCTACTACCAGGTCATTGGGCTGCCCAGCACGGATGTCTCACCCTGAGATAAGATACCTTCCCATTCTTGTGGTTACCTTCAGGCTATTCTTTGGGTAGGTAATTTTATTATCTTCTTCCTGTAATTGGTGACCTATGGTTTAGTTCCTGGTGGCTTTTGGGAGTGTCAGGTCTGGTTCTCTCAGAAGCGGCCAGAAACTCAGGTGAGGGTCCGATGACTCACCCCACTCCATCCTTCTATAGGAGAACATCAACAGTCATGGGAGGTATGATTAAGGGATTATTTTCAATAATATGAACAAGTTGCTTACCAATGGCAATGCCACTGAAGGAAATGTCTCTCCCTATCCCAGTGACTGTTAATTGCCAATAGACTTTTTGGGGAGTGGTGAGGCCTTATGAGTCCCTCACTTTTTTTTTTTTGAAGGTGCTTTTGAAAGGTTCACTCTACAAAATGAGAATATCACAGTTGTATGTTTATGATTTTAAAAGCCAAAATAGCCAGGCCTGGTGATGTTCACCTTTGATCCCAGAACAGAGGAAGCAGAGATAGGCAGATTTCTTTGCATTTGAGGACACTGTGATTTGCATTGCAAGTTGCAGGCCAGTCAGGACTATACATTGAGACTCTGTGTCCAAAAAAAATTTTTTTAAGCCAAAATAGAAAACTAAAGAAACAAAACACTCCATCAAAGCTTAATTTTTCTGCATGAACCACGTGGCAGCTCTTTGCAAAGGTTGGTTTCCAGAGCCTACCATAGCTCTCAGCCCCTCCAAGACACTTTGTGTGTTAACTCTGAGTCCCCACACTAAGACATCACTTCTTTCTTTCTGGGTGCTCTGTTTTACCTTGTATTCTTGGCTGCATGACTGGTGGAGTATATTGACAAATCCAGGGTGGAGTTATCTAATGGGTGAGTCGACACAGGTTCATCGAGGTCAGAAACAGTGTATTAGTCATACAATCACCCTTACTAATGAAAAGTTCAAGGAAATGGGATTCCAATACCTAGTGAGAAGGGGTGTCCAGAGTGTGGATACTGAAAAACTCACTTGAGGGAACCTCTAGAAAACACCGTTGTCGGGGAGGAGAATGGGTAGGAATGTTAGGAAGATGCTAATTGTATGTGTTTTAGCATTAGACTACATAACAAATCTATGTTCCAACACTATGTTCCTTTGGTGCATGTGGTGTTTTGGGTTTTTGTTTTTTTTTTTTTTTTCTTTACTAATTAAGATTCCTTACCAGCCCCTAAGGTAAATGAAGCAAAGGATTTGGATCTGGTCTACATCCCAAGAAAAGAGCTAAATTCCAAACTGGAATACAAAGGTAATAATAATAATGATAATAATAAAATAATAGTAATAATACAGCTCTCACCTCAAAGAGAATAAATGGAGTGTGTTAGTATTGTGCAGCAGAATTATATAGCAGATTCATAAATCATGCCACATGACTGGTTCCACGTGGGAGGTTTTATTAAGGGAAGGGGGACGGGGCCACAGAGACTGTCTCTGGGCAGGGTAGGACAGAGAAAAAGAGAGGAGAGGGAGAGAAAGACATGGTGGGGGGAGGGGCGCCCTGACAGAGAGAGGGGAAGAGCAAGAGAGCGAGAGAGCAAAAATAAGAAGACAAGAGAGAGACAAAGTGCTGGGTTGGTCTTTTTATGGAGCAACTTAACCACACCTATCAGGTATGACTCCCTGGCAGGGGAGGGAGGGTGCACATGATAACATTATAGGTTGCTAGGTAATTCAGAAACAGGCTGCCTAAATACTAACCAATAGGAATAACAGATTTCAGGTACCTCAAACATCATGTTCCAATGTAGTCGCAGTTTCCTAGAGTTTTATGGCAAAGAACAAAGAAAGTCACAAACAAAATCATTTTTCAAATGTGTTGATCAAAATACCAGGTTGATAGGTTCCAGCAAAGTTGAGGAACCTCTGCTATAGGCACCAGATGCTATCTGAGGGCATTTTTAGCTTTAGGATTTGTGGAAGCTAGGAGTCTGCTAAGTTAGAACATCTCAGAAGGCTTACCCTGATACAAGGATTTCAGGTCACACAAAGAGGTAGGTAATGAATGGCTACTAAAGGGGCTAAAAATAGCGCAAAATAATTTGGCTCTGGATCTGCAGCATTCCAACCTCTCTGCAGTCACTTAAGCTCAAGTAGCCTCTGTCAAATGATCTGTTAGGTTTGGCTCCTTTCTGGAAACTTTTGTTCACAGTAACTAATGCTTTCTTTCTAATCATTTTATATATTTTTTTAATTTTTTTACAATTTATTCATTATATATTCTGATTGTAGCCCACTCCCTCATCTCTTCTCAGTCCCACCCTCTCTCTCTCCCTCTGTCCTCCAACCCCTTCCCCTAGTTCACTGAAAGGGGCAGTTTCCCTCCTCTGCCATCTACCCATAGCTTACCTAAAAAGTCTTATCAAGACTGCCTGGATCCTCTTCCTCTATAGCCTGGCAAGGCCGAATTGCCAGGGGCAAGTGATCAAAGAGCAGTCAACCAGCATCTTATAATTTAAAGAATTTAAGGCAATAGCAAGCTCATGGAAAGGAGCTGAAGGGAGATCACCCTTCAGGAAGACCTTTGCTAGGAGATGAGGCCTGAAGCGGAAAAGAAACATTTTGGCTCAGGGGAGAAATAGCATCATGACCACAGAGAGCCATAACAGGACCTTGAAGGAAGAGAGAGAGAGCCTTCTCTATAAACTTGGAAAACACTGTCTGTGGTGGTGCAGACCTCTAATCCCAGCACTCAGGAAGGCAGAGGCAGGCAGATCTCTGAGTTCCAGGCCATCCTTGTCTCAAAAAAATAAAAAAATCCCACAAACAACAACAGCAAAACCTGGTTGAATAAAGGGGATTTCTGACTCTTACAGGTTTTGGACATCGGGGAGTTAAGCTTCCTGCCATGTGATCTATCTTGGCTGGCCTACATGCCAGCATGGAGACAGACACTAGATACTACTATATAAACTTAGCTTGTAGGGGAGGGGGACTTCAAGAACACAGCACTGCATACTTTCTTATCAATCTCTGGGAGAAAAAGAAAAGCAGCTAGAGTCTGTGATCACTCACTCTCTCTTGCATCATCTTTCAGCTCATGAAATTACTGCTTCAGTCATAAGCAACCAAGAAAAAATCCACTATATTGTGACACACAGATCCAGTGTTGTATTACTTTTCCTGAGATAACATGAATAAACAAACATTTATTTACTCCTGATGTGGCACTGATAACAGATCAAAGTAACCATTCTACTCAGGTTGGTGCTACAATAATTTTTTTTCAGGCTTACTTTAAAGAAATATGAGCAAAAGAAAAATAGCTGTTTCAGTGAGAGGTGCCATTTTATCATCAGTGATAATGTCACAAAAGCTGCATAATGGAGTCCTGCCTTTTTTCAGGTCCTGTCTACCCTAGTGCCTTCCAAGGGAGGAGATCACCTAGAATCCCAGGTGAGAGTTCTGTGACCTCTCCCAGCACTAAAGACTGTTGATGACTCTGTTATTGATACTAGCTACCTGCCCATCACTGTGTAATTGTTCTGTTCATTTTGTTACCATGACTACAGCTTATCTCAGTGTTGTGGAATTTTTTGTTCATTTTGTCTTTTTGTTTTTTTCAGACAAGATTTCTCTGAATAGCCTTGGGTGTCCTGGACTTGCTTTGCAGAGCAGGCTGGCCTCAAACTCAGAGATCCACGTGCCTCTGCCTCCCTGAGTGCTGGAATTACAGGCGCATTTAAAAATATTGTATTAGCATATATTAATTATACAAGATAATCAGTTTCATTACGACATTTTTATATATGCTTATAACATATATTTTTATCATCTTCATCCCTATTCGCCTTTTGTGTGCCCCTCCCACTCTCACTGATCCCATTCCTCTTCCCAACTAGTTCCCATTCTGTTTGTTAGATCTAGATTATGGGCCTGCCCCTTTAAGAAACAGAAACAGACCGCCAGCCTAGCCATTGGTGGTGCATACCTTTAATCCCAGAGTTCTGAAGGCAGAACAGAGCAGATCTCTTTGAGTTAGAGGCCATCCTGGTCTACAGAGTGAGTTCCAAGACAGCCAGGGCTACATAGAGAAACCTTGTTTCAGAAAAAAAAAAAAAAGAAGAAGAAGAAGGAGAAAAGGAAAGGAAAGGCTTCTGAGACAGAGTTAAGATGCCATGCTGTGCTGTGACATAACAGTTCCTAATGTGTAGTCTTACCCAGGACCTGACTCTTTCATATTCTTTTTTTTTTTTTTTTTGGTTTTTATTGTTTGTTTGTTTGTTTGGCTTTTGGTTTTTCAACACAGGGTTTCTCTGTGTAGCCCTGGCTGTCCTGGAACTCACTCTATAAGACCAGGCTGGCCTCAAATTTATAGAGATCTGCCTGCCTCTGCCTCCCATGTGCTAGATTAAAAGTGCCACCACCACCCAGCTGCCATGTTCTTTGTCACTAGGCCATGTTGCATTAAACTTCATTGTATGAATCTTTCTACCAGATTTTTTTTTAATTACAAAAGCCAGAATACTCACTTTGTCAAGAGTGTTTCTCTAAAGGCCTTTTTCTTCTGAACATCCCACTAGTTATGCTCCAATGGCAGCTATGTCGTTTTATTTTTATTTTTATTTATTTTTTTTTTTACTTTAGGCTGTCTCTCTTTTCCTTTATTTATTTATTTATTTATTTAATCACTTTATGGCCTAATCCCAGCCCCCTCCCTCCTCTCCTCCCAGTCCCATCCTCATCCCTCCTACCTCATCTCCCTCCTTCTTCTCAGAGAAGTGGAGGCTCCCTAGAGGTACCACCACACCCTAGCATCTCAGCAAGACTGAACATATCCTCTTTTATTGCCATCTGACAAGGCAGCTCAGTTAGGGGAAAAAGATCCAGAGGCAGGTAACAGAGTTAGAGACATAGGCTATCTCTCTTAATGAAGTTCCTCTCCAGGTTTTAAAAGAAGGCCTTTCTCTTTAATATCCTCATCATGCCACCTTTGATAAGCTATATTGTCCCCTTTTAATGCTGTCAAAGCCAAACCTGACCTGTGCAAAATGGATAGTCATAGGTCTGAGTCAGATTTAAGATTCAAGATCAGGGCTGGAGAGATGGCTCAGAGGTTAAGGGCACTGCCTGCTCTTCCAGAAGTCCCGAGTTCAATTCCCAGCAACCACATGGTGCCTCACAACCATCTATAATAAGATCTAGTGTCTTCTTCTGGTGTGCAAGTGTATATGCAGATAGAACATTGTATATATAATAAATAAAATATATATTTAAAAAAAAAGATTCAAGATCAGTTCCAGCACATCTATGGAGCCTGGATAAGTCACTTAGGAGCCTTAGATTTATTGAGAGTCCAATGACAGTTATTTTTTATAATAAAATTAAATGACATGATGTTTGTGGGGGAAAAAACATTTGGTAAATTGAGATGAGTCAAGAAGAAGCAACTCATGACCCAGCAAGATGGCTTAGAAGGTAAAAGCTCCTGCCACCAAACCCAATGATGCAATTTTGATCCTCAGGACATACATGGGGGAAGGACAGAGCTGACTTTCACAGATTTTTCCTCTGACTTCCACATGCATAGTTAAAATGTAATTAAAAAAAATAATGTAAGAAGGTGGGTGGTGGTAGATCAAGCCTTTAATCCCATCACTTGCGAAACAGAGGTAGGTGGATCTCTGTGAATTTGAGGCCAGCCTGGTCTGCATACAGGTTCCAGGACAGCTAAAGCTATACAAAGAAACCCTGTCTCAAAAAAAAAAATTTTAAGAAAAAGATGGCCTAACATGACAGTACACACTTTTAATCCCAGCATTCTGGAGGCAGTGGCAAGCAGACTTCCGTAAGTTGGAAACCATTCTGATCTATGTAGTGAGTTCCAGCCAGTTGAGGCTACATAGAAAACCCTGGAGAGAAGGGGAAACACTTACTCTCTTTTCTTTCCTTTCATTGATTCTTTGGCATGAACAGCAGAGTCCCTCAAGTGGAAGCAGCAGCTAGCCTTGGTTTTAAATCAGAAGCCCCTGGGTCTTTGTCCTCTTTCACAGTGCCTTCTGTTATCTTACATTATGAGTCAGCATACTTTTCTGTGGAAAGGGCCAGAGAGCAAATATGGGAGGCTTTGTGAGCCGTTTGGTCTCTGTAGTTCAAGGGTTCCTTTGTCTTTGTAGCTTAAAGGAACAAAACACTACATAAGTAAATGAAAAGCCTGTGCTCCCATAAGACTTTTTTTTTTTTTTTTTTTTTTTTTTTACAAAAGTAGACAATAGGCCAAGGTGCTAGTTTGCAGACCTCTAATCTGCATGAAGGTAACCTGAGACACTGGTTCAAAACCTGCCTTGGCTGACTCCACTCATATTCCTCTGATACATCTAAACTACATAGCCTTTCTGTGAGAACAAATAACAACAAACACAAAAAAAAAAAAAAACATTTTTAGAAATTACCTATTTGATCTAATATGCCCCTGGCAAATTTCTAACAGGAGTGTTGGGATCATGAAACACCCATTGTATTTTAATTAATGGAGGTGAGTAGGTGACAACATGAGGCCAATGCCATTGAACCAATGATTTACTGTGTACACCCCCCACCCCCAGGAGAAGGGGACACACAGAGCAAGGGAAGGACCTAATGGAAAACTAGGCCAAAGGTCTTTAAGGGTTCTGTAGGAGCAAAGTCAAGGGATGGGGGCAGAGAGACCATTTAAGATAGGATAAATTGAATAATTTCAGGAGGCTTTAAGGCAGTGGTTCTCAACCTCTTTCACGGGGGTCACATAACAGATATCCTGCATTACAATTCATAACAGTAGCAAATGTATAGTTATGAAGTAGCAACCAAAATAATTTTATGGTTGGGGGTCACCACAACATGAAGAACTGTATTAAAAGGCTACAGCATTCGGAAGGTTGATAACCACCACTTCAGAGATACAGAGGCTATCCATAACTATTTGTTTCTGATGTGGTGTGGGCCAAAAGAAATGCTTCTTTGATGTGTATGCTGATCAGTTTTCTCTCAATGTTATGAAATACCTGAGCTTTGTAGGGAGGGGTATGACTCAGATTTCTTATAGTATGACTGAGCACTCCATATTCTGAGCTTTATTTTCAGTCTCTGGCCTGACTTTCGTAAATAGCCAGTTATATTTTCTGCTTTGCTTCACTAATAAGGGTCACTGTGCACTTAACCATGGAACCATTTCTCTAGATACCATATAAATTCTGTCATAATCATAGAAAACAAAAGTGAAGGAGCTAGAAAGATGACGCCATGGTTAAGTGCACTTGCTGCTCTTGCAGAGGACCCAGCTTCTGTTCCCACCCACATGATGGCTCACAATCATCTGTAACTTTAGTACTTTAGTTCTTACCTGCATGGGCATCAGGCACATACATGGTGCACAAACGTACATGCAGTCAAAACACTCATGTGCATAATATTTCAAAGTATAAATATAGTGTATCTGGTTTAAACTACCCCTAAAGCATGTCAACTGCCATGATCTATATTCTATTCTCCTAAACCCATGACATCACCTTCCAGAGCCCCAAATTAGCTACTTTTGTGACACTCTTAATGGTTCTGAATGTGTGTGTGGTTTTTTTTTTTTTTTTTTTTTTAGCAGACTTAAACATCTCAGTTGACTGCAGCTTTGACCATGAGGTCTGTGATTGGAAACAGGATAGAGAAGATGATTTGGACTGGAATCCTGTTAATCGAGAAAATGGTACTTAAATTTCACTACTACATGTTCTGGAAGTAGAGAAGGCTTTTCCTACCAGGGAGTTATTCCTGTCACTGCTTAGATCATGATTGTTTACTGTCTTTGAAAACCTTTGACCTTCTGAGATGGCCTCTGATGGAAAGAGTAACTTAGTGCAGCATTTATTTCCTTTTCCATCCCTCTCTCACCCACATGACCCAGTAAATATGTCCCAACATACTTCTTTTTTCTTTTTCTTTTTTTTTTTTTGAGACAGGGTTTCTCTGTGTAGACTTGGCTGTCCTGGACTTACTTTGTAGAGCAGGCTGGCCTTAAACTTAGAGAGATCTGCCTGCCTCTGCATCCCTGAGTGCTGGGATCACAGGCGTGCACCACCACACTCAGCTCCCAGCATACTTCTTTTATATTTACTCTCTTCCTTCTGAGAGAGAGAGAGATGGGAAGAAGAGGAAGATGCCTGGTGGAAGGGTGTCTACAAGATCTCCCTTTTTTTTTTCAGCTTACCACAGTCTTCTGCATTTTGATAGAAAATAAATATTTAAAGGTAACAGAACCTCTCTGTCTACACTGGTGTTACAGGAGAGTCATCTCTCAAAGGAACAAATCCACAATAAGTGACAAGTTAATAACCTAAACTCCAAGATTAAGCTTTCCTTTCTTTTGCCTAAGGAATTCTTTCTGACCACCTGGCCTTGAGTTGTTCTGTACATGCTCTGAGCCATGAACTTCTGACTTTTGTAGTGTCTGCTTCAGTACTATTGATGGGCTCTGGCTTCCCTTTGGGTGGAGACACTATTTTGAGTCCTGCTCTCCTGAAGGCTGGTCATGTAACTGGAACAACTCTTACATACCTCCAGACTCCAGTTCCTCACCAATAGAATTGTATTTCTTTGAGGGTGTGCAGGCTCAGCCTCTGTTTAAAAGACCCTTCCTTAGGACAAACTCCTTCCTGAGATATATCCTTGCAAGCCTGTACCTGCAGCCAAAAAGCTTTGATATCCTGTACCAAGAATACCTGTTAGTAGCTGGGCAGTGGTGGAACACGCCTTTGGTCCCAGCACTTGGGGGCAGAGGCAGGCCAGCCTGGTCTACAGGGCAAGTTCCAGGACAGCCAAGGCTACATAGAGAAACCCTGTCTTGAAAAACAAACAAACAAACAACCCTGTTAGAGCTTGCAGTTGGGGTAGAAGGAACATATCCTACACAGTGGTTGTTCTAGCGGGCCTATCACTAAAGATAGAGCAGTGGACAAGTTTAACAAGAGATAATATATCTTTGAAGAAACTGTCTTGATAACTAACACAAGTTTCTCTTTTCTTCCATCATGGGAGTATAGACATCAGTGCTACTAGAGATATACACATGGATAGCTGAGACTGACATCTTACATTGAATTTTCCATCAGTGAGAAGTCTTCATTTGCAAACACCTTATTTACAAGTGAAATTGGATGTTCTCAGCTTCTAGGACACTCACATCAGAACTTCTTCCCTCTGACACATCTGCAAAGTCTCAGGATGGTCTTGTCTTTCCTGACAAAGCCAAATATAGATGAGAAACATGGGATAAACTGATATTATAGGAGGGATAAGCCCTCAAGGAAAGCTGAAAGTAGGCTTTAGCTGGGATTGAATAGGTCTCAGAAGAGAGAGCTACTGCATAAGAACAGATTTGAAAGAAATCGACTTATTAGTATGTCTTAAACATGTTATTTATTTGAAATTCAAACTCCACTGGGAATCCTGGAGTTTTGCTTGAATGCTCACTCACGGTTTTCTCGATTTCTCCTTTTTAAACAGTCTTGGACTCCAGCCTAAGGAATGGTGCTGCCCCATTCTGAGTGGATTTTCCCATCTCAATTTAAACTTAGATAATCCCACAAACTAGGCTAATCCACTCTAGACAATCTCTTACAGGCATGCCCAGAGGTTTGTCTCTCAGGGAGTTGTAGATCCTGTCAGGTTGACAATCAACATGAATCATCACAGGTGTGATGGTTACAGACTCTGGCAATGCTGTTATAGAAATAATACCATCCCAGTGAGAAATCACTTCTCACACTTAGCGATTAATAAAGGAAAAGGCTCTTTAATAATAGCACATGTCTGGCTCTGGCTAATGCCCAAAGAAGAGGTGGGCTTGAATAGAATAGTTTGCTAATTTATATACACTTTAGGCTTGGCATTCCACATACGCTGTCATCCTTAAATCTCTTTCAGGTCCCAGCCTCATGTTACACTTAGAAATAATTTAAACAGAGACACAGATACAAGAGAGTGAAAGTCTGACCACTTAGGCACATGGGAGATTTATACAGCAGAGATATTGCATATTACCAGAATTATTTTAAGTATACCAGTGTTGTTCTTTTTCAAATAGTTATTACTAAGGGTCATGTTGCCCATCTAGCAGAATTATGCTTTTGCTGGGGAAGAAAACTTACCAGTGACTGGATCCAGTGAAGAGACTAAGGCAGCATCAGCCAGGGTACCACAGGTATCTCCATGAATTGTACCAGAAGACTGCATCCCCAGTGTTTTCCTCCCAGATTCTATGGGAATTCTTTCTCATCAACTCCTTCAGACTATGCTGTGTAAGAATTGTT